AGAAAGGGGTCTAGATGATACCATTGTCTTATGTGTCGGGGGGGGCCCCGGCTCCTTCCTGCAGCAGGACATATGATAGGAGCAGGCATACCGATTCAAGATACGAAAGACACAAGGGTGTGACAGACAGCAGGGGGCCCTCACAAAGCTCAGCATGGCGTCAGAAGGGCGTCTCTGCATTGATAAAAGGCCTTTGACGTCCGTGGTATTTGCTGCGCTGGTTTTATGTAATTACTCCAAAAACTGTCACCACAAGAGTCTTGTGAAAGTAACAGTTGTGCAAAATACGACAAGTGAGCAGTCCTGTTCTCTCCATTGTATTGGAAACCATGTTATCAATTGCATACTTTTTAGAAAAACCTTGTGAGTCACTTTTTGACTATTTGGGCCGAGAGCTGCTTGGCTGAGTGAGGGCAGTCCTCTCATTCTTACTTTCTGATCTGAAAATGTGACAGAGGCCAAAAATACATGCATGTGAAAACTAGTGATAGAACCAAACTGTTTTGAGGTTAGATTTTTTTTATTCCGTTCTTTTTTGTGGTTCAAAATTTAGCTGCCTCAGACTTAAAGAATATACCTGCATTATTAGTAATTACTTGAAATAATAATTAATATTCGGATTTATGCAAGGCAGACAAATACTCCAACAACATACTGTACAACAGTAACTCAATAGATTATTTCCACATTATCGCTCATGCACAAGTGAATATTTGAGCCGCAAAGATTTAAAAAATGACAATGAAATAAATAATATAGCTTCATGCTTTTATAATGACTGTAAGTGCTGGGTAAGGCCTTCAGGCCAAAGCAAACGTTTATGCCACTTCAAATTTCTCATCACAACCCAAGCAGAGCAAGTCTAACACGTTCATTTTCTTCACCCTGTCACTTTTGGAAGCAGCCGACAACTAGGTGATTGATGGAGCAATAAAGTTTACAATATAGAGGTGCAGAAGAGCGGTTTTCAAGAGTATTTTCAATGCATATTAGCCGCAGTGCATAAATAACCCATATTTGGTAAAACAGGATGTGATCAATTGCAGTTTGCATTCCTATAAATAGAATGAATTTGTTGGCGATGACAGCATTGGGTTGCGTGGCGTATTTCATATAAACGGCACGCCTTGTTGTTGAGTATAGGAAAGGAATGTCAACCGTTTTGTCAAAGCTGAGAGATAATTGCTGAGATAAACTTCCTTCCTTCTTGTGATGCTTTTTGAGACTCAGAGGTAAAACAAAACCATCCATTTGGACAAGGTGATGAAGGCGGATCAGGGATGTCAAAAGTGAGTAGGGATTAAATAAATGATCTTGATGGGTTTTGTGATTGGGGCGACATGGTGCGTTTGTCTTCATAGCAAGAAGATCCTGGGTTCGATATTATCTCCAGACAGGGCCTTTCTGTGTGGGGTTTGCAAGTTCTCCCCGTGTCTATCTCTATCGCTATGAATATGAACAATGGATTGGAGGCTTCAATGCTTTCTGACAGGCCCCAGAGCGTGAGGGTAAATGGTACTCTGTCGGTACTCTGTCCTCCGCACATCCACGGGCTTGCCACAGGGATGTGTTCTTTCGCCACTCCTGTTTGTATTGTACACTAATTAGTTGAAGAGCCAACAAACAACCAACAACAAGAGCCCAAATTAGCATATTTTCCAATTTACAGATGAGTTAATTGTGTCTGTTTTGAACGGCTCCGACTCAGAGCCCAGTCCTGCCATTACTGACTTTTACAACTGGTGCCAATCCTCATATCTAAACATAAATGTCTCCAAGACCAAAGAGATGCGCATTGACTTCAGGATGCGCCTTAATTTGCAAACAAAAAATGGACAAGCACAAAATCCCTTTAATTTGGGAAAAGCTTTTTGATTTGAAAGTATGACACAAGTATCTTTTGTCTTGTTGTCATCTGAAGCATTATTTTCTCTTTCACTAATGTTAAAATATGTTGTACAACTCTGGTCTGCCTCTAAGAACTGAGAAAATTCTTAGAAAATGACTTAATAGAAGCGATTATGTAAGATTTTTGCAGTAAATCTTTCATTTCTACATGAAAAAAAAGTTGTATTATAGGTTAGAACTCTATGTGCGGAATTTTGCATTTTTGCTTGAAGTTCAGAACAAAATGAGACTTTTTAAACATATTGCAGTGCCAATTTTATTCTCTGGATTTTAATACTACTCGATTTGTATGGTCCTAATTTTGTATTTGAAAATTTTGTAACTAGCAATTCTAGTAATTTTATGGATTTATTGACTCATAGTTTGATCGATGAATTAATTTTCATTCACCACTATTTTGATATTTTTTTTCTTTTGATTTAATTTTATTTATGGCAAATGTGCGAATGAATTCTTTAGTTACTTTGTCTATGTGAGCAGCATATTGCAAACTGCCTTTTAAAGCTGCACTAACTGACTTTATTTTTGTATTCATTACGAAAATGCTATCCATGTCCGTGTAGGGCATTGGGATATATGTCCTTTTGAAGAAAAAGTAGCGCAGATTTGTGCTGGCCTGACATTATATTTTAGATCGAGTTTTGATGAAACAAGGAAGAGAATGTGTTTCGGGTCGCAGATTGTGACCAATCACAGCGGACCACTGGCCCCCACTTTCGTGAGAAATCTACAGGTCCGTTAGCATAGACAGCTGAGTTAGCACAACAAGTGGCGGAGCTAACCTGAAGCTTCGTGTGTCTTCGTCACCGGTTACTGCTTACACAGCGAGACAGCCATCCAAAAGAAAGTCCCGTTCCTCCGCGCTTCCCGGTTCTATCGTTCTATGGTCACGCCATCCACGTGCAAATCCATATCCATGTATTATCCATATTGGGAGACGCTAGCTTCGTCCCAACAGTGGGTGTGTGTGGGGGGCGATAGCTTCGTGGGTGCGGGGAGGGGAGCAGAAAGAGCGAGGCCAGCGAGTCTGCGGCTTCAAAATCCCAAAGTCAGTTAGTGCAGCTTTAAAGGCGCTATACCCGTTTCTGCAATGTTTGAATGTTTAGCACCGCCCCCCAACTCGCTCACAGGCTTCTCATTTCCCCTACGCTCTCATAACACGTAGCCATCTAGTTTTATTTGCGATCTGATACGTATGCTAACATTAGCATTAGCGCAACTTGTAAGCTGTACAACAATCACTGATGAAATGGCACTGAAGCAACGCACTGCTAACACAATATATAAGTAAAAGAATACGTTTCGCGTCCGGATGTATTAATTTAAACATTAGAATATATTCTAATATTTAATTATAATTTATTATACAGCTCCTCACAGCAGCAGCACTCCATTGACTTGAATGCAATTCTTCCGATCATTTTTTCTTGATAACAGAACTCTCAAACCAATAATGACCGCAGCCCCAATGCAATCTCTGTTTGTAATTCAGGTGTGTAAAATACTGCCATTACTCCGTAAGTACAACAAGCTATCAGCACCTGTCACTACATTGTGCAGTTTCTCTGCACACTTGTCTGTGTAGAGAAGCTAGCGGAGCTCAATAAACAAATACATATCAATCAATCAACACCATTAAACGTCAATCGGACAATACAGTACACATATACATCCTTAACACACATGCACGGACGATTTCAGAATTTGCTGTCAACGTTTTCATGACAAAAATACTGTTTTAAAGTGACAAAAAGCGATCGCGAAAAACCCGGAAGTTACCATGAAACAGCTAGCTAGCTTAGCTGTTACCTGCCTAGCACGTCCCGGTGAAACCTTTGGGAGCTAACTATTTTATTTGCAGTCATTAAATACATTTCTAATTATAAGGGTTGTCTAATATTTGTTAAAATATGTATATATTTTTTATTTTAGAATTATATTTGAATTTCGAGGCCGAAGCCCTAGTGTTTAGCAGCGCTGTAGAGGCTAGAGGACGCAGGCTGTTCGCTGCTCGTTCTGTGAGTGGAGGAGAACGAGCTCAGACTCTACTCAGCACTTTTCACTGCCTGAATTTCATACACATTGGAATCAATGACCTCAAGTTTTCAATTAAATTATGTATTATGATACAACTTGTATGTAGTAAAAAGCATTTTTATGAACTACTTAGAAAAAAAATCGGGTATAGCTTCTGTTGGGTGTCACATTGGCCTGTGCTGTGCGTCACATAACCCAATACATTCTGTCATCATTAGTGGATTTTACAGCCACACAGCCAACGCCAATCACTGTCAAGTGCCGATAATATGAGTGGAGTCTTCACCACCATCTGCACAGCGCCATCTGTGCATAAATTATCATTGTAGACTCAGCATGGGAAGTGCACTGTTACTTTTGTGACGTCAAAGTTAAAAGACGTGTTATTAAGTTCACCTTTTAGGATTCTGTAGGAGAAGGAGGAGGAGGAGTCTACTGTACAATCACTTTACATTTTCCTTATTGACTTTCATATGCGTTATATATATCAGCCCAGTCTAGGAAAAGACAAGGATTTATGCATATTTTAAGTGTACAACTTTGGTTTGGTTCAATCTAGCTATTTTTCACACACATGTTTTGGTCACAACAGCTTTTTCAGACAGAAAAGTGAAAAAGAGAGGACCACCTTCACTCAGCATGTCAAAGATAGGATTAATTTTTAGTTGATGAATTTGTATTAGGATTGTCTTTATGTTTATAGACAAGTTAGTATTGAAGAAATATGAATTTTCTTTGTTTTGAATGTAAATTATTGTTTTATTGGACCCCAGGAAGAACAGCGTAGCCGCAAATGGGGATCCACATTAAACAAACAAAAACAAACAAACCACCCCCAGAAGGAGCTATAACAATTCCCAAACTCTGAATTGCTTTTCTCTAGTTCTTAATATGCGTGAAAGCAACCGACATATAAACAATAAGTGGAAAAAGTTGCTACAATTCCTTATATTTTGAACTATTGTCATCCCCATTGGGAGCATTGTGTACTGGACTCAACCCATAAATTCTCAGTTCTCAGTTCTCACAGCATGTGTCTCTGTTTGTGTCCACAGACAAACCTGGGCCACAAGTTAACGTTGAGCAGTAAACTGTGCTTCGCCATCGGAGGAGCTCCCAAAGAAGTCGCAGCCAGCGCCACAGCCTTCTTTCTGCAAATATACCTGCTGGATGTGGCCCAGGTAAAACTCATTTAGTGCTGATATTTACCTCATTTTGCCCTTCCTCGTCTGGTGTTTGTTGGAACTCAGCAAACCTCAGTTACCGTGACGTATGTAATGCACCCGAGTGAGTCACTAGCATCTAGCATTTAGCCTAGCTTTAGCCATCTCCTTTGCCGCTAATGGAGCCACAACATCATTTCCAGCAATGACTTTTGCTAAACATTCCTCTTGCTCCGGCTTCAATTTCTTGATATTTGGAGCCGAACCTGAACAGATTACTTTACTATCGCATTCGCCGCCACTGCCAAACTATAATCAGCAAATTCGGCGCAAACTCTTGACGTTACCAACACCGACTACCGCTACCCGAGGTAACTGCAGCAACAGGGACCAGACCCAGACGTACATGTAGGAAATAATAATTGCCCGGAGTTTACGAATGGCTAAGGCCAGGCTGCATTGAAAGCTATTTCAGTTACAAAATCTATCACTTTTTTCCCTGTTACCAATTTGATTTGACAAAACATGATAAAGATAATGCTCCATGTGTGCGTCAAAGTTTGTTAATATTATAGAGCGTAGTTTTAATGATCTCCGGCTTCCTGTTCCAGATCAATGCCTTCCAGGCCTCTATGGTGCTGTTCATTGGGAAAGCCTGGGGCGCAGTCACTGACCCCGTCATCGGCTTCTTCATCACCAAAACCGGCTGGACACGGATCGGAAGACTCATGCCCTGGTGAGATCCGCTATTTCTTTATTTTAATCTGTCCATACACTTTTTTAATATATATGAATGTTTAAACAGTCAATTTAAGAATTATAGTTAATTCAATATATATATATTTTGTCCTCAACGCCCTTTCACATATATTTGGCACTAGCTAGTGAACTTGTCTAGTCCAATTTAGTTTGGACTTATAGTGACTCACATTGCTAGTGTATGCAATATTTTTTGTCTCAGATGAGCTGACTCATTTTTGTCAGAAAAACATAATGGTTTATTAATGCCTTCTGACATATTAGGGCCATTAGGACTTGATATGCAAATCTCACATATTGCTACTTTAACCTTCGTCACATCTTAAGATCAACTTATCCAGACAGTATCAAGACAAGTATCAAGTATACAAATTATTTCTAAATAGATGAAGACAGCTTGTTGTGGTTCGATTTATTCACAAAATGTCACTTTTACATGACACTTCCTGATGGGACAATTACATTTTTTTGTGTCTATTTCACCCTCATGCTTTAAAATACGTTTTCCTGTCTGCGCCTTCATCATTCACCCAAACTGAACAATGTTACATCGTCACTACCACCTCTGCCCATGAACATTTAGTATTACAAAACGGGTGCGCCTCTGTTGCTCCATTTTGTTTTTGATAGCCGGTTGTGAAAGATGTTTGGGTTTGCTGCCACTTTCTCAGACATAACCATGGCAAAACTGCATCCTGTTAATGTCTCCGCAAAAACAAGCAATCAGTCTTTTTCCCCACATCTCAAACAGCTCTGGGTCTCACCTGGGACTGGGAGTAAACAAACGCTCATTGTATTTTAATTAGCCTGTCCCTGTGATGCACCGCCAGACAAGATTTATGTGCCGAGTGTGAAAGCAAAGGCCGCCACTCTCTCCTGATGTGGGAATACTTTGAACAAAAGGGAAAGGTTTTATCCTTTTAGTTTCTGTTGGCCATGTGCCAGGATGTTGTTTTGGCATCAGGGACACACTCGGAAGTTTTGTATTTTTTTTGTATTTTTTTTTTTTAAGTTGGCAGTTATAGATTACGTTTGTGTTAGTTATATGGCTATGAACCTTCACATGAGTCATACAAGGGACATGCCAATAAAGAGTTCCTTGATAATGATGATAATCTTGCCATTGTCCCTTATAATGCGATTCCCTTCCTGGTGAAAGTCGAGCATTTGTTCTGACCCTATAATTTTACACGTTCCAGTCTTGGTCATAGTAAAAAGTCGATACGAATCCACCCGACACGCCAACCTTTCCCGCTGTTGTACCAGGATTTCACTGTAGTGTTAAAATAGCTTATAATTCAAAAACATGTGGTGTTGTATATAAGCACATCAAAACCATGTCCACAATAGAACCTATCTGGGTCTATGAGTCTTAAATAGAACTACACAATTTCTATTATAATAAATATATGGGAATTATCTTATATCTGTTGATTAAAATGAAGAAAAATCAGTGCCCATTTGTCTACGCTTGTTTGGTCGAGCCATCCTATATTTCTGTCATTAACAAAGTTTTGAAATTGACAAACAAAAGAGGCTGGGTTATTTCCATAGTACACAATTGTCCCTGTCTGCTAATTGATATTCATTGTTTTGAAAAGAGAATTGATGGTATAGATTGAATAAACTAAATCCTTTTCTGTTGCTTTAGATTAGTGTATGAACTATGCTCTAAAAATGAACTTGCCTTGCCTTGCCTTACCTCCCCAATTAGGAGGAGGTAAGGTTTTTCTGCTACTATGATAATTAAAAAATGGGTAAAAAATACATATTTATTCATTTATTCATGTAAGAAGACAACAAAATGAAATTGAAAATACACTTCTAAAATAACATACAGTCTCAAATATCAGTTGTATGGGTTTTTATACATTTAGAACATTTATGCGTCATCCACCAATGGGAGAAAGATAAACACCTCCAGATGATGTAATCGGATCAGTGATAATTCCATATCAACAGTTTGGCATAAACCATTTCACACAAGCACGAAAAAAAAAATCACTTAATATTTACTTGACCCACAACAAATCGCCTGCAACGTGATAAGACTTCTATCAATCAACTAATATATTCATGGATTATTGCACAATCCTGTGTTTTTGAAAAGAGTGGCACGACTTCTGTAATTGCTGATAGTGGGAGCGACTCTAAAGCCCCGGCTGCTTTATAAAGTGTAGATTATAGACTTGTGTTGATGGAGTTGGAGCAGGCCCAAGAGCACAAGGGCCAAAGCGGCGCTGAGCTGTAGACACATGATGGATGCTAGCAGCTTGTTTACTGCTGGTGTCCGCGCGCACGTGCTGAAATACTCACACAAACACATTTAGATGCAACACATAGAGCAATGGGAATGGATGGATGTGTTGCATTACGCTTTGTTTTAACACCTATGATTATTTTTTTAGGATTTCAAATGTAAATGCTTATACCGTAACTTCATTTCCCTTTCTTGTTTTGTATAGTACTCCAATCAATCAAACATGCGCAAAACTAATCCTAACAAAATAACATAACTTTGTGCATACATATTTTGAACAGGGATTGGATGAAGCAGACACTCCTAACCCCCCCTCACCAATTCAACACAGAAAAAATAAAATAAAATGAAAAGTAACATTCACAAACACAGGCCAAAATACTCTCTGACCCAACGCCCCTGTCCCACTACTCGCTCTATGCATCACTCTCTTCATGTTTTTCTCAAATGCAGTCCATTTTGAACATGTTTTAAAATCATCCATTAATCCTTTGAGTTGCCCTGTGTATTTCAAGATTTCAAGATTTTTATTTGTCAAACCAAGTGAATGGTTTGAAATTATATTTCTCTCATCCTTGATTGTGGAGCGGGGGGTGGGGGAAGAGGGGTGGGAGGGAGGGCAGGGAGTTCAGCTTCCTGATGGCCTTGTGAATGAAACTGTTTTTAAGTCGACTGGAACTGTTCCGTAAATTCTGCAGTCTCCTCCTTGAAGGCATTACCCTTCAGTAGTAGTATGAACTGTGCTACACAAATTCCGAGTAAATGTAAAGCCTTGCTCTACGTTTCAATATCATAGGAATTTTGAAATACTTAGAAAAATATATTCAGACATTAGTAAGTATACCAGGTCTTGCTCACAGTGAGGGAAGGATGGCGCCTGAGATTGACAGATGGATTGGTGCAGTTTGAGCAGTGATGCGGTCGCTGGAATGCACTGTTGTGGTGAAGAGGGAGTAGCGCCTGCAGTTAAAGCTTTAGATTTACCCATCCATCTTCCTTTAAAGCCTCACCTATGATCATGTGCTTTGGGTAATGACTGAAAGGATGATTTTGCGGATACAAGAGGGGTGTCCTTTGGAGATAGGGTAAAAAAGGCTGCTTCTCCACCTCAAGAGAAAGCAGTTGAGGTGGCTCGGGCATGGTCCACCATACCAGGAGCAAACCCCGGGAAAATCCCCAGACACGCTGAAGGGCCAGCTGACTATGTCTTCAGCTGGCCGTGGAACGCCTCGGTAACGTCTCACAAGATTCAAAACTTACTGAGTTCAAGTTCTTGTTTGTAGAATACATTATTCAGAATCCCTATTTTCTCCTTGGCCCATTTAGAGTCATTATAATAAAAAAAAAAACACAATACACTGCGCTGTTACAGTCTTATTCTCATTGTCTTATTGTATTTGGGACATCTCTGAATAGCTCTATTTACCCCAAGGACAATATTGACTTCTGTCCAGCCCTCCACAGACATGACTTACTATATCTGTGGCCTCAAAGCTGCTGGCTACAGTCTCTTATGGATCTAAGTGATCTTTATTATTGTGGCATTGGAGAAAAAAAAAATCTTAGCTCCATTTATCTCAAACTCAGATTGTAGCAAATATATTCAACTGTGAAGAGAAGAGGAAAATCCGAGGCACTTTAGACAATAAAAGACAAATCCTTTAATGAACAGCGATTAAAAGTATTGAAATCAAAGGATTGTTATTATATTGTCTAGAGTGCCTTGGACTTTTCTCGTCTCTTCATAAGTTTTCAGTGTTTTTGCCACTGCTGATCATTATAAGCACCTCAAAAAGTTAGGCTGCGGTCACAAGCCCAACCTAAAGCCCAGTTAGTGCAGCAGGAACATTGGAGAAAGACACATCTCACCCTTGTACACACTGACTCTGATTGCAGATAACGCAATCCATGCTCGAGCTGATTGGGGCACAGGATGGGAAACAGAAACTTAACACAGGCCTAGAGGTAGTCACTGACGTTAGTATTAGCACCAACAGCTGGACCGAGCGTTGCACTACACCGCATTTGGGCTGGCACTTTTGAAAAAACCCTTCTGACCGCGGGCCGTCTTCACACCCCCGTGGCGACAATCCGGGCCCCTTAGCCTAGTTCGTTTGTGAAAATCTATGAGACCATGCCCTTAGACCCACTGCAGCACTCATCTCTCTTGAACTTTTATATTTAACTAGTTGTTTATCTGATGTCTTTCAAACTGTCTTTATCAACATAGTTACCCTGATTAAGTGTGATTTCTATTGGATACATGAGCAATTAACTTGTCACAGTCCGAATTTCAATCATGTAGGTGAGTTCCCATCTCCAGAAAGCATTCAAACTATGCAGTACAGACATCTTTTCGAGCTAGCAAACGCCTAGACCTATTTTTGCATACGGCTCTATACCCGCTCTGCAGCCACGGAGCTTTGTCACCTACCTTTGTCACAGAAAACAATAGACATCACAGCCAGGATGGTGCTGGAAACCCCGAAGCCTGTGCCTCCGCTGGCCCTCGCTCTCCCACTTTCCCTGCTTATTGTTGTGTGCTGTTGTTTACTGATGCAGAGCCGAGGCCAGGGGTCAGGGCTTGTTTGGAGTTTCGCCGCTGTCACCCAAATTCCTCCAGTTCTTTTTTTTCCTCTGTACCTGTGAAGAGCGGAGGAGCACAGCTGTTCAGCACATTCACTATAGACGAGGAGAGGATTGACAAATACCTCCAGAGCCTGACTAGACAGGAAAATGCCAAAGAATGTAATGATGTAGATGTTTAAATGAATGGCCATGGTTAGGACTTTTGAGAACGAGTTTTGCTTCTATGCCCTCACAGACAACTTCCAGAGAATATAAATGGTAAAACATTCGCTTTGATAAAATGGCGTCATCCATCCATCACCAAAACTAAAGTAAAACATATTTCATGAAAACATACTCTTGAATTCATAAAATATAGTAACTAATAAACTTTCCATACGAAGTGCAACATTTTACACACCCTGGTGATTATGGGCTGACAAGGTTTGAATGGTGCTAATGGTAATATCATTGTCGGAATCGGGACAAAACCGGAAGTAACAATCCTACTTTCGAATTAGTTTTAGACTAATAAGTCCTTCAATGGTGACTGGTTAAGTTTTAGGTGTCTGAGTAAGATGGTTAAGGTTAGGGTTGAGGTTGGGTTGGGGTTATTTTATGGGAATGGCTGGTTAAGTTTAGGCATGAATAGGTAGTTTGTTATATTTACTTCTGCTTCCGTCCCGATTTATGATCTAGTGCTGACCATTTCCCTATATGGGCATTTGTTATGACGAGGTGACCTATGCGCCATAGCAGTTTTCTGGGTGTTCAGCTCCATGTTGCTCCCATGGCACCAAGACACCAGCCATTCCCCCTCCCTTCTTTCTCTAAGAAGACTCATCGTTGCCAGAGATTAGTTCAATGAGGCTGGTGTCCTCCACAAACTTGGTCACCTTCACAGAGTCATGACTGAAGGTGCAGTGGCTGGTGCACAGGGTGAAAGAAATTAGCTACAACAGCTGGCTCTGAAATGAATGTAAAAAGTTCATTTTGTATTCATTTTTGTATTCATTCATTTTAGCTAGTCGTTTTGTCTTATCAAAAATACCTACTAAGCCTTGGCTCCGGAAATAGTTTGGTTCTATCATTAAGATAAGATAAGATAAGATGTGCTTTATTTATCTCACATAGGAGAAATTTAGTTTTCACATGTATGTATTTTTGGACTCTGACACATCTTTACATAAACTTTCACAGATATAAAAACTGAATAAAAGCCAATCAGCCAATCAACTCTGAGTCCAAACCATAACATGTTTTCTAATCAGATAAAGACAGTATGTGTTATGGTCTGATTTGTTTACAGCCTTTTACGTTCACGAGACTCTCTCTGTTGGAACAAACACACTGTATTATTCATGAAACCAGGTAGCCCAGCTTTAACTGTGAGAGTGTTGTGTGTTTGTGCTGTGAATCATCCCAGGTTCTCCGCCTTAAAAAAAATGGATTTATTTGCGTTGACGCTTGCTCTGGACGCATCAACCAATTGCCTCCACTTTTGACGAACCGTTTTCCCGTCTGCACGTGTTTTCTTGCTGTAAATTATACATGGCCCATAAAAAGACACCCAGTCAACGGAAAACTCAAAGTCGGCAGAATTACGGTAGTCCGATGCATATTCATGTGTTGTCTTCAAATGCCTTGACGTCTTCTGAAGGCTGTGGGTTTTTGTGGTATTTCCGTTTTTATGTGTCCCTCCCTGCGACGATTCCTATCATTCAACACAACTGAACATAATAATTGAGAAGACTTCCTAAATTTACTGTAATCTGAGTAAATGATGGCCTCTATAAACACAAGCTCTACAGCGGTGCAACAAACCTGCAATTTGTGAAGAAAAAAAATCTCAATTCCATGCAGCCTGATGTAGAAATAACAAAATTAGGGGCAATGAAAAAAATACACTGTATTTTTTGAGCCTAACAAGGTAAACGACTTCCTTTATTGCACCCTTTTTACAGTTAACAGGCCTAACTTTCCAACCACAATGCAACGATATGTAATAAAATCCATCTAACTAGTTATTTTCTCTCAAAACTGTCTGATTTGCATGTTTTTTTTTCTTTGGATCCAGTTTTTCAGACAGGAAAGTGAAAAAGAGAGGACCACCTTCACTCCGCCAATCAGCTCTCAGCTCAAATAGAAACTCACAGGACAATGCAAAAAATAGATTGATTTGTAAAGAAATTAAGGCATATTGTAGTCTGAAATCTTACTTTTACAAACTTTAATTTGGACGTCGTGGACTGAGCCGTTTTCTGTCTTTTGAAACAGATTATTTTTGAGTGTTCTTCCAGTCAAATTGTATTCGTTAAACTGCCTGTTGTTAGTTTAAGATCTAAATCTTTCATAATGTGAACAAATTAGTACATGTATGAGTTTTCTTTAAATTGCACAGTCATCTCACTTCTACTTTTTACTACTACTACTACTTTCTACTTTTCTACCTCTGACTTTTCTGGTCATTTCAGATTCACATTAATTCATACATAAAGATTGTTTTTCAAATTTTCAAAAACATTCAATTCCAAAGTAAATATTCTAAGGGCCAAAATAAGCACAAAAAAGCCATATAAAAGGGAGAATCTTCTATGACAAGTTGCTGTATAAATAAATCTTAGTTGGAGTAAGAAACACTATTGTTACTACACTTACATTTGATTCATTTATGTATCTTTTTAGTCTCCTTCCTGCCCTTCACTTACACACAAGGGCAACACAGGCTGGCATGTCAAAACATCTCGGGTTAAATGCCGAGACGGGTTCAGTGTCATTTCTCTGAGCAATTATAGTGGCAATTTAGACATCAATATGGGTCAGGTAAAGGTTATAATACTCTCACCAGTGTTATATCATCAGTGTTTGGACTTTACTTTGGAAAATGTTCATTCCTTTATACAGTGTTCTCGGTAAAAATGTGTTCAAAGATGTTTATAGTGCTCCAGGTGGATTATGAACTTGCCGTTATGATGTTATTCCTTGCGTTTGTGGAATAACATTATCATAAGCCCTCTGAGTTCTAGAAGGCTTATTTTCCAAGTCGGAATGTTGTTTTGACCTTTTTTTAACACCATTTTATTCTTCCATATTATCAAACCTGTACATATACATTCAACAAAAATGAAATACACAAGATACAAAATAAATAGGGATTTTACAACACCATTTCAGCTTCTTGCATAACAATGAATGTATTATATTTCTGTCTCTTTTCCAGGATGATCGGCTGCACCCCTTTCCTCATAATCGCTTACTTCTACCTCTGGTTCGTCCCTCCGTTCCTGAACTGCCGTTTCGTGTGGTACTTGGGCTTCTACTGCCTGTACCAGACGCTGATCACCGTAAGTACAAAAGCATGTCCTCTTTCCGTATACTTGCTATACGTGCAGACCGCAGCACGCCTCAGTAGAGTGATGCGATCGGACTTTGCACGCGGCCGAGTGGGAATTTCAAATCAGAAAACTTGTGCTGCAGAGGAGTCCTCACTTGACATGTAATTTCAGCACCAGGGAAAGCAGGCTGTGAATGAAACGATGAGGGATAATATGGAATTTCAACAGTTTTTGAATTCATTTGTTAGATTTACCACTGATTGTTGAATTTATTTGCAGAAACAGCAATAGATGTGGTTGAAGTTTAGTGGTAGGAGTAAGACATGCTAAAAATGCTGTAAAAAGAGCACATTTAAATACAAAATTAAAATTCCAGCCATATTCCTCCCCTTTAAAGGATAAATAAGTGATCTCTTAATCTTTATCCATTTCTTGGTAGGAGGTGGCAGTCAGAGCTAACACCCAATTGACAGAGCACCAACCCAGCAGGGTAGGGCCTGGTTAGTGCTGTGATGGGAGACCTCTGAGAACACTAGGAACCTCAGTAGGGCAGCTGTGGTTGTAAAGTGCCTAACTGTTTTTGTGTCATTAGGCAAAACATTTGGTGGTGGCACAGACTGGTTCACTTCTGCCAGTCTGCCCCAGAACAACTGTGGCTTAAGTTGTAGTTTAGTAGCAGAAGTTTCATTATGCCATAAGGAGCATCTTTGGGAGTCATGAAAAGTAAATTATTGCTATCTTAACAAAAAAATGCTGATCAGCTCAGAGCTAAGGGTCTGATCAAAACTAGTGAAAACTAGTGATAGAACCAAACCAGTCATTTTAACCATTACTTGAACAGAATATTTGCAAGTCAATGCAAAGTGATAGTTTAGCATAACATTTTGAAGTGATAAATTGGTTAAAATGTTACTTTTATAGTTGTTTGTTTTTAGCAATTGATTGTATATTGCAATAGAAAAGTAGTACGGTAAAAAGGTCATCTAAAAAAAAAAAGAAAAAGGCTGCCATCATTCAAACTGCAGGATTCTTTGGGGAAAACTGGAATCTGGAGGAAAGTCACCTTATGAATGTATTCTAATTGAAACAGGCAAACCCTACACAGATGGTTCAACTGTTGTTTTCAATCTGCCTTCTTGTTGTGAGCAATATGTGCGCTAACCACTCGGCCACCATTGCCTTCTGCTTTTTTCAGTGTCTTTTTTTATTTATTTATTTACAGTACAAGAAAACATTGCCAGCTCAGTGGCCGATGTTATGTACATAAGGCGTCTAGCCATAGGCTAATTTGCAGCCCCCGTCCCTGGTCGCTTAGATCCAATACAAGCCACAGCGACGGACTGTTTTATCACAGCAAAGTCACTCTCACTCCTCAATAAGTATACAGTCCGCTCTGCCAGCAACCTCTGTCTCTAAATGTTAGTTTCCACTTTTAGTTCATTGTCTGGTGCTTGTTTGAATCTACATATAGGGGGAAGCCATATGTTACACCACACAGAACAGCCGAAACACATCAACAATCGCCTTTGTCAGCTCTTTACGCAATCAATGGGCTGGTAAATTAATGCATGTGCAAGAAAATTCATTGGTAAACAATTGCCTATAACGGCTGGCTAAATGACATATGCGCAAAGTCTTCATGGTCGGTGTATTTCTGTCGCAGCGTAGGCTTGTAAATTACAAAGTGAGGGCGGATATGGGCCATTCTCTGGGATAGGTGGTGTGGAAGGAGCTGAGGTTAGCATGAATGGATCGGAAAGTGCAGAGATTGCTTTTTGATAGACAGAAAGAGAGATATATATATATATAAATAAACATGTTGTGTTTTCCCAGTGTGGATTAGAGGCTTCCGGAGCTTTGTACAACTGCACGTCAATGTCAAAAATAGAATATATACTACAAAGTGTGCTATGTAAAGTGGATGAGTTTTTGCTTTTTGTCTCCGCAGTGCTTTCATGTGCCTTATTCGGCCCTCACCATGTTCCTGAGCTCAGAGCAGAAGGAAAGAGACTCAGCGACTGCCTACAGTAAGAGCAACACCACATCATGCTAAATAATATTATCACTACTGTACATTATGCATTTAAAAAGATCATTTATTATTCAACTCAATCGGATAATTTCAGGGACGAGTGAAATTGAGTTAATCAATTATTGTGCTTGTGAAGACAATGTTATTGGTCCAACTAATGCTGCGTTTACATAAAAATCTATCTGTGCTTTTTAAAACAACAAGCATTGACTCAAGAATTAAAAAGGAATTGTGGGAATGTCTCTGGCTTTGTGTGCGTTCAACTAGAGACATTCCATGAAGGATGACCACGAAGGGCTGGTAGAAGTGTTTTATCTTATTCTATCCATTATAAATATATACCATTATTCTACATTAAAAATCATAAAATGCGAACAGGATCATTTGTGAAGGCCTAAATGGTTATAATTGTTCTTTAAATTACTTTTCAAAATGCAATCAAAATTGACTTGATCCATTGTGTTGTGATCGATGTACTCAAACCTTTTGGCAAAGACATTTAAATGCATTTAATGTGATAAAAACAGCCGAGGTCATATTTGATCATTTGAATGTGCTCCAACACTGCTTTCAATTGCACTACGGGAAGTTGCTAAACTGTGAGAAAAAAAAAAAAGTTATAATTTGTCAGTTTGTATATTTGGGAGATACTTTTATCAGCAAATCCAGCTTTAAGTTTCATGGTAGGGGTTTGGAGAGACCACGGGGGCAGAATGTCAGTCACAGCTGTACCTCTTTGCCCTGGAGGCAGCTGTGGGTGCTTCAGAAGCTCATCATCAGTATCACCGGTGATGTCCAGGCAGAAAAACAGCTTCAGGCTATTATCCACAGCTCAGCAGAAAGTGGAATTTATATCAAGTTTATAAAGCACCACTATTGCTATAGAAACAAGATATTGGATGTTTTGATAAGTTCTCAAAATGCCGCATGTAAGCGCATAACAAGCAAAAAGATTACCAGCAAGCTAATGTCTGTCCTGTACAAGTTATTACGACCAATGTTTTCCTTTCCTTTACTGTGAAGGCATTCTCTACTTTAAAATATGCAAGAAACCATTGTGTTGGACACTCAATGGTTCTTGCTTTGCCTTCATTTACACCACACCATGTTATATTCAGATCTCAATCTACCAGAATGTAATTTTACATTTCTCCCTCTAAATGGGAGTGTTGCTCTTAAACTGCATTATTCTAAAACATGACCATTCAAATTAAATATTTTTAAGGGCCATGTTTAAAGATTAGGACCGGTTTAGAATGAGACGCTGCAGAGACGCTCCAAAGCAATTTGCAAAAACGACCAGAGTCTGTATTCAAGTGCACAGCGTCTACACTACACCACATCCGAGTTCTAGCGCCTGGCCAGTAAGGGGCAGTGGAACTTCCTCAACAACATCCTCCTCTGGCCACTGCAAAGACGTGAAAGTGTCTTGAACTAGAACTACATTGTTTTCCGTCGTCATGTAGACGCCGCGCACTTCGAATACAGAGCCTGGTTGTTTTTTCTAACTGTTTTGCAGCGTTTCCGTGTAAATAGGGCCCTAATTTCTCCATTGTGAGATCAATCTGATCTTATCTTATCTTTTGTTCATACATATTACATTTCACAGAAAGTCTAAGTACAATTTTGTTTTATTTTTCTTATTAGAAAACATTGTATCTTTTACCAACAGTCCCTGTGAGCCACTATTTGAGGTTTTGGGCTGAAAGCTGATTGGCTGAGTGAAGATTGTCCTCTTTTTCAGAAAAATTTGATCTTAAGATGTGACAGAGGCCAAAAATATATGCATGTGAAAACCAGTGATAGAACCAAACTGTCTTGAGAGTGAGCATCTAGATAGAAGTATTTTATTTCATTTGTGCGGTTTGAAAGTTGCGTACCCCAGCTTTAAGGCCCAAATTGATAAGAAATATTTGATAACGTGTGTTTTGTTACAATTGTGGAACAGGAATGACCATGGAGGTGATGGGGACACTGGTGGGCGCGGCGATCCAGGGTCAGATCGTTGCCAGCGCACACACCCGCAAGCACTGCCGGCCGTTCAACATGACCGTTGCCGGAGGTTTCCATGGCAACGTGAGCCGTGCAGAGATCGTGCGGAGCCTGGCGCGCTCGCAGGACTACCTGTCACAAGCCGTAAGTGTCCCCATCCAGAAGCACCTCCCACAACGACCACCGTCTGCTTTTCCTATCAAAAACATTCAAGTGTGGAACTCACTGCTCAATACAAGCCCCGGTGATCCAAGATGGCGCCCTATTCAAATGAATGGCTTGTGCTCAGTCGCGCATGGGACTTAATGGGGACCGAAAGATTAGCTGAGCTCGCCTATATTTGGGCATCGTCTGGTCCTCCTGGTTCTCCGCAGTGGACGAGCTCCCATGATGCGTTGCGCCATATACGCGTGTGTGGCTCTCATGCACATGCACAGAGGGGCTCGGCCGAGCTTTGACCAATCAGAACTGGTGATCAGAGCAGCGGTAAAGCGGAGCCAGAGTGGGAAGGAAACGAGCAAAGTTTGTGGCAGTAAAGTGTGGATTTAAGGAAAACCGAAGGATTTAAGAAGAAAAAAAGTTCAGGATGACAAGGGACACTAAAATCCCCACAAAACCCGACCTTTATGAAAGCTCCCTGCGCCCCCTGCGCCCGTGGGTGGGACAGCTATAAGCTAGTAATACCCTATCCAGTTATTATTATAGATCCATGGCTCAATGACGTGAAATGTATGTCAGAGTTTAACGTCAAACACAAGGCTCGCAGGCCAAAAGGGGTCAGTAAAATTGTTTTATAGTTTTCAATTCTTACTATTTATTTATTTTATTTATTTTATTTATTTTATTTATTTTATTTATTTTATTTATTTTATTTATTTTATTTCATAGCCAAGGCTAATTTGCAATGTCGCGGGGGCAGCAGTCTAAGCAGAGATGCCCAGACTTCACTATCCACACACAGTTCCTCCAGCTCAACCAGGGGGACCCCAAGGAATTCCCAGGCCAGCTGAGAGACATAGTCCCTCCAGCAGGTCTTCCCCGGGGTCTCCTCCCAGTGGGACATGCCTAAAACACCTCCCTGTAGGAGGCGTCCAGGAGGCATCAGGAACTGAACTTTCTACCAGGACAAAATAACCTGCATACATTAGAATAAATATAATAATATAATAATAATATACTATAAATATACCAAATATGAAAAAGAATGGGTTTAAAAAAAATTTTATTCAGAAAACATGGGAGACCTTGGTATCAAAATATAGACAAAAAAGCACTGCCCCCTGAACAACTATATTTCTTTAATTCCTTGTTTAAACTGTTCCCATTTTAGGACCCAAGTGTAGGACTAGCTGTTACAAGCCGTAAGTGTCCCCATCCAGGTGCGCTCCAACTAGGACGCCGTGTCTTTGAGAGGAGTCGGGTTTGTTCCGCCTGCAGAAATGTTCCCTCCCAAAGCCCTGGAGTGTTATGCGGCGATCTGTCCTCCTTGTTCCCGGGCAGAAGTTAAAGCCGAATCGATTGCGTAACGATGAAGTTTGGATAAAGGTCAACGCAATCTTGTGTTTTTTTTTTAAAACCCTTCACTCCCTAAAGAGTTCGACTGCACAGAAATGATACAAACAGTAAATAGCATCACTGTTGGTTAGATCCTTATTTTGGACCCAGAGGTTTCATTACACATGTTTTTGCAGCATGGAATGGAGATGAGAGAAATGCTATGGACTTGGGAATCAGGGTGGAATGGATTGTCTGGTTGCGATGTTATTGTTTACTTCACTTCAGAAAAAAAAAGATACATTTACATTAAAAACAATGAATGTATGTACACAGCCTAAAAGATTTAAAGGGACTATATGCATTTTTTTCCTTTTACAATACATCTACATATTTTATATACCGGTATTTCTCTAGTTAATTGGTTTACATACTGTATATACGTTAACATACAAAAAACATAACTAACCTTTTCTGAACAAGTGGAGGTATTATTCATTGAAAATACAATAAATATGATAACCATTATTTCTTATGTTTATTATTTTCACGCAGATCATCCAGCAGAATGAGGTCCAAATTTGGGTCGCTTGTTTTTCACCGAAAGATCACTACATGCGGTCGTCGTCTTAATATACACTTAATTTACTACAAAGCTACTTAGATAATTCCTACACACTTTTCCCAACACAAGCCATAAGATTACACACAATATTACAATACTGTGTGTGCCAAAACAGCTTCCTCTTTTACTTGAAACTAGTGAGCGCTTAAAAAGGGCACATTTTAACATGCATTCAACCCCACTCCCACAGATGGTCTCTTAGTCTTGTCAGTCAAACTCTTTTATGTTTTAACTCTTATAATGGTGGTATTTGGGAGAAGCACCGTCATTTGAAATACAATCTTGGTGTCTTGAGCGGGCCTGACCACAAAGGGGCTCCATCACATCCCAGTCCAGACTATGGGGTCCTCCACGGTCTGCTAGCCATTAGCACTATTTATGCCACACCCACAGCATTCAAGGCATCAGAGCTTCAATGATGTGGGGTTATTGGACTTCAGATGAACTACACGGCAACAATTAAAGACGACATCTTGTATTTTGTATATTGTAATTTGAAACACCAGGATTAAGATTCATTTAGACTTTTTTCAATTATTGATATCATTTAATCAAATATGAAAGTGATATGAGTCATAGTAACTAGTTTGTATCATCGCCTTTTTACAACATAGGTCTTGATCGGATAAACACTATTTTGTGTAGAGTAACTTGTGCAAGTAACTATATCGAACCATTTCTACTGTATTTACGCTGCATGTAACAATGTAAACAAAATACTACTGAGACAAGCCCAGCATATGCGCTTAAGAGTACAGGGGAAAGCAAGACTTATGTTAGAAATGTATGTATTTTTACCAAAACAAAACGTGAGGCAAAAGTGAGAAACATGGTACATTTATCTATTGCAATTGAGCATGTGTGAAAATAAAATGATCAAAGTAATATTTTGCCAAAAGTGTGTTGCAGTATATGATGGCAACGTTATTGTTTGTTGGTTATCGAACAAGGCTCCATCTGATCAATCTGATGCTTTTCGTAACTCTATATTCTTATGCTGTGAAAGTGGGATCCAAAGTGAGTAGGCGTAAAACTTCACCCATGAGCTCTTCCTTATAGACTTAATCAAGCTAGCGGGTTATTTTTGTCCTACCCCCTATTACAATCTAGGATCCAGACTCTTCCTAGATGAACACAAAAGTCTTTTCATTCACAAACTGTCTACCCCACACACTCCAGTCTGAGCCGCTTGGAGACATTACAACAACATGAAGAGTAATTTATGAGATTTATGTCTTTTGGCAGAGTGAGATCCACCCTTTTGGCAGCAGTGAGAAGTTCTTGTTTCAGGTTTGAAGATAAGTGTATAGTTGAGGCATCTTTTTTTTTCATTTTGAATTGTCATTGCTATCTGTCATGAGTTGTTGTCAGGCCTTGAAATTGAAAAAGAAAATGGGCAAATTAGTCCTTTTTACAAATCATGTACATTTATAAAACATGTATCAGGCTTCAAATGAATCTAGTATTTACAGCTCAGAGTTTAGCTTAAGGAAAACAGTTAGCACATTCTCACTCAACCCAACTGTCCCATGTTTGCGCACCGCAGCTAAAAGCACGTTTCCATGGCAGTTTTGGTGAACCCTTTTGGGGCAATCCGTCCTCTCCCGCTGCATTCTTCCGCGGTCTCTGGTCAGGGTGGTGCAGCGTGTAGTCAAATGTAAACTTGGGAAATTGGGAGTGTTTGAAGTGCACAAATAATAAGGAACCGCCGGGCCCTTCCGCATCAGGAGATGGTAAACAAACAGAAGTTGTTTAAGGCACAGTTCCTGTTGAGGTCTGGGCTCTGAATGGTTAAAGATGTATTTTAGGAGAAATGGAGAGACTTGAGGTTTGTCCTATTTGTGCAGTGTCAAACAGAATCGACATGCGAAAGCCACTCGGGACAGCGTTCTTCAGGAGGACAAACAATATAGCATAATCCTCTTTCTTGAGCTTTTATCCGAATTGCATTATTCCCTCATCAAAAACAGCTGGAGGTTTATTCTTGTATGGCCCTAAATCACAACAGTATTTATCTCAGAGGAGCATAGAAATCGCTAACACAGATCAGAGAATCAAACCGTTCTAACACAGGAAGCCAGCCGAGTGATTTTAACACCAGAGTTATGTGCTCCCTCCTCTTGGTACCAGTTAAGTTCCTTGCCGCTGATCACTCCCAACAGATTAACATGCTTGTTTACATGGGAGAGAGAGTCAGATCATTTAGTCCAGCTGGCATACCTGACTTCTCATCCCGCAAAGATAATATATAACGTTTTGTTTGTCTGAATAGAAAGAGTGGTTCTCAGAGAAGTTTTTATGGTCGCAAACACCACCCGCAACCTTAAAGCCAGTCCTATCCCTGTCCATCTATTATAGGTATTTGACAGGAAACCTCTGAGTTGGCATCAGTGTGACATCACCAAAAAGCACAAGCTTTTAACATTTGAACATTCTGGAAGTTGTTTTTTTATACTCAATGAATCATGTGCCACAGCTGTTCTCTGGTCTGACTGGTTCTATAGAATTCTATTTTCCCGTTGATAATCGCTATTCCCCTGCATTCAAAAGATGATTTGTTTTCGCATAAAAAAGGCTTTACTTGAAAAGAAAAAAACAGAGATATCTACTATGGTTTGGTAAATGTATGTATGGCATTGAGATATGGAGCAGAGACTGAAAATTTAATGCATTTGAGGCGATTATGAATTAAAGATTATGGACAGGGCTCAGAATAGACTGGATTGTGGCATCTGTAAAATGAAGGATAGATTCGGACGAGTGTTTTTTTTGTTGTTTTTTTTTGGCGGCACATTTTTGTAAATAAGAGCATTCAAAAGTCAGAAGCTTACAAATTCAATGTTTTCCGTTACATATTGGACTACCCAGTGTGCCATAAGAAATATCTGTTGCGATTTCAGAGCTTCACAAAGCCACACTGGAATAGTATTTGTCAAACCTGGAGAAAAATCTGAAATATATACAATAACTTGAATGGATTTTGTACCATTCATATTTCTTCTTTTTGTCTCCACAGAAAGAGGTTTACATGATTGCAGCCGGAGTCATCTGTGGGATCTTCCTCATCTGCACGCTCGTCATGTTTGTGGGCGTCAGAGAGAGAGACGGTGAGACTTAAAAACACAAATTCTGTGCAATTATTGTCCAATCATCACAAAAACAGGACTGTGTTGAAGGTCGTTGTCAGAACATGTGGACCTTTAAACATTATAATGGAAAACAAAACTATAGATAATACAAAGCCTCATTGGTTTTCACACTTTTTTTTTTTTCTATCCGAGCAGCTGGACTCATTTTGTTCATAGAAATATAGATAAATGTAAATCATAATCTTCAATAAAAATAATTATTTAGTCAAAATATCATCATGATTATAAAAAGTCACACATACAAATTATAAAACTCAGTTCTACCAGCCCAAATGTTTACTTTCTCTAATGTTAATGTTAAAGAATAAGTTTATGGCAAGTTTGAAATGTAGCCGGGTGTTATTATATTTATCCAGGAACTTGACTGTGCGTGAAGTCAAATATTGTGTGCAATTTTAATGGTTTGATTCTATGTCTGCGTGTGCATAGATCTGTTTGCTCCGATGTTCATACATTTTACAAACACACAAACATGTAAAAAATAGACATAAATGCAATATACTGTACATACAATATACTTGATGCGGCTCAACTTCATCCAGACTTGAGCCCAGATAAATTGTGAATGGTTTTTCGGGAGATTCTCACTTCAAAATGAGAAAAAAAGCTTCATCCCACAATCAATCTTTGTTTGTAGAGCACCTTTCTAACACAGGGCAACACAAAGCGCTTCACAGTCACATCACACAAGGCACATATCATCACATATAATACACACACCAAAATCACCACTAAAAACACAATACAAATCACACAGGTAAATAAAAACACATAACCCTTTAATGTTCACTCCATGAAGAAAGCAATGTCAATTTAGCTTTTTGGATTTTGTAAGATGCAGGAGCACTAATAACACAAATTTGTATTATAGTTTTTTTTTTATTATAGACCTTTACCAAATGATGAGATGCAGTTTGATGGTAAAAGTGTCTTAAATCAAGTGATAGAGATAACCGAATGAGGAAGAATTCAGTTCCAAGCTGAAATAAAATTAAAATCCCTTGAAGTGTGAAATGTTTGCTTATTTTAAGACAGCCAACATTGAAGACAAAACTTGATTTAAGCTTTTACTATCTCAAAAACTAGTCACACATACTAAAACAAGCTGCAGCCCATCTTTGAGTGTTTTGACAGACACAGTTTTTGTGCTTGTAACTGGAGCAAAGGCAGTGGTAGTTCCGCTGCTCTGGTCTCACTGGGACAAACAGCCTTTTCTCTGCATTGCGGTGCTGGTTCCTGGATGGTTGTGCGCTGTGATATTTGATCCTGGTCTCCTGACTCTTCTCTCAGATCCATACGGCCCCAAGTCGGACAAACAAGTCTCCTTCTACAGAGGCTTCGTCTCGGTGATGAGACACGGGCCCTACCTCACCCTGACCGCGGCCTTCCTCTTCATCACCGTGGCGATACAGGTATGTGCTGTGGTGAATTTTTGTTCTTAATTTCAATTGTGGACATGACAATACATCCCATAGTGCAATTGCATTTCAAATAATTGTAATCTTGTCCCCCACCCACCCCTGTCTTATAACACGTACAAAATAAAAGAAAGAAATTAAGATGGACTTCAGCACTCTTTCAAGCTGTTATTATTTTATTAATTTGTAAATAAAAAATAAAATAAAAAATAGAATACATTCACCATAGTCATTTTAAATGTTGCAAGTAATCAGGTGTGTTCATTTAATTTGTAAGCAGGCATTTAAACAAAAAATAGAAAAATAATAGTAAATAATAAGTAATAATAATAAAAGTTATCCATGATCACTGTTTTGTTTTGTTTTATTGTCCAATGGCACTTGTGTGTACGGTTGTGCTTTAAAGTTTAGAAGTAATGTACCGGTAAACATATTTTTTGCCATATTTTCAGATTCCTTTTATTTGTCAATTGCAGTCAAACCAAATTGGCATACATTTGGAAAAAGTCCCCGTGTGCACCATACATAAAACAAATCGTGAAAATACAGGAAAAAAATCGAGCAATTCTAAAGAACTCTACACTAAAATAACATAAAATATCTCACTCTAGCATAAAAATAATCAGTATAAAAGCTCTATCTTTTGCATAACAAGGAAATAGGTCTAAAATCTCCAACTTTAGCACGATGAAGAAGCAAGACTTAAGTACAAAAACCCCTGACTTAGCATAATAAGTAGCAAGTACATATATTTCGCAGATAGTGGAGAAAATTGAATGGGCTAAAGTCTTCTCTCTGAGCCACTAGTAGATTCCGATTCAGTTAATTTGCCATTGCAGTAAACCCACATTGGAGTAGCTGTGCAAGAGTATACCCCAGTGTGCACCAGAGCTCTTGCCACTAGAGGCCAGTACAGAGACCTGAGCACGGGACTAATGTGAGCACTCTGCATTCTCTCCTACCTGAAAGCCATCGCCTCGTGCTCTTTTGGACGGTCATAGCTGCGGTAACAAGAGCCGGTCCACTGTTCAATACTGATTTGATCACAGCCAAGGAGCTTTTACTGAAAGCTTTGGTTTTTAAGCTGCTGTAAGTCCCCCGTACTCCAGAGAGCCATAACAGCGCAAGATTATGTCTATTGTCACTTGTGGACAACAGCCAAAGGTCTTTAGACAGTGGGTGGAAAAGCATTTGTTGGCAACCAAATTAAGAGAAAGGTTATTTATTATCAGAATATTTATAGTTTTATGGGGATGGGCAGAATATGAGGGAATTATTCGTCTTAGGAGCAAAGACATTAGACTACATTTACTGAGCACATATCATTGGTTTCCAAGCCATTCTCTTTATCTGGTGCCAGAGTTGGTCAAATATAAGCAGATAGAAATAAAGTGTATATTGGCTAATGCAAGATTTCAACATATTGCTTCAGAATACAGCCAACTTTGAAGCTTGAATTTACTATAATATTCCTTGTTTTTTTAAATTATCTGCTGTATCTCTGCTCAGAAAGAGAATTGCTCATTGTTAAATATTAATATAGTCAGTATAGTAATGCTGCAGTAGACAACTTTCAAACCACTAATATACATATGTCACTTTTTTGGTTCTACTTTTTACTAGAGGTGTGGACTCGAGTCATGTGACTTGGACTCGAGTCAGACTCGAGTCATGATTTTGATGACTTTAGACTCGACTTGACCAAATGTAAAAAGACTTGCAACTCGACTTGGACTTTAACATCAATGACTCTGACTTTCACTTGGACTTGCGCCAATTGACTTGTAAAGACTTGCGTAACCCGGGCCATTTTTACCTTTCTCCGCATCTCTCTTTCTATCTATGCCGTCTCTGAAGAAACAAAGCCTCGCGGTAGTTGTAGCGCTCGCGAGAGAGTTCGAACGTGAGTTCCAGGCAGTTCGCGCAGCAACACTTCCCTAAACAAGCGCACTGCATTCACCGGTGGGTGTGTTGTCGTAGGGGAGCTGGAAATGAGCGAGCTGCAGGTATTTATCGCGACCTAACGTCATATTTTGTTCTACAAACCGTAATTGATATGCTTTCACTACAGGCGCCTCATACAATTGAATCGACACAGTTGTCACACTGTGTGCCGTGTTTTAAAGAGGAACTGGTGAGTCAAACTAGCGCTAGCCTGCGCTGCTCTGTTAGCTATTTCTTATATTTTTCTGTGTGGGCGCCGAGGCCTATTATTATGAGTATGTTTTTGCTGTGCTCCTCCTGCTAAAGTTTGCATACATTAGATAGTTGTTTTGATTATGTGCACTAAGCTAGATTAATATTTGCACTATTGTTTATGGTGCATTGATATGAGAATCAGTGCTTTGACTGATTGAATTAATTTATATGAGACATTTTATTATGTACTGATATATTGGTAATTATGAGATATTACTAATGCTGGTCCAGTTCATACAGGCCAGGGTCCTTCCCCTCCATTGGTCCCTTCAGTCCTTTGGAACAATAACCACTACGGACATTAAACTGATTATATAGAGACAGGTCCTAGCCCAATACTCATATTCATATATGCTGCACTTGCTACTTCCCATTAAAACCCCCAAAGATAAAAAGTATGTTGACACGGACTGCTCTGATTTTATGTGTGGTCTGTGCATGTGTAACTGAGCCTGCATCTGGCACAACATCCAATTAGATCACGTAGATAGTTTTGATTTACCAGCAGCCAACGACATGGAACAAACTGTTAGTCCATGGGTCAGAGACCAACGAGAATGCACCAGCAAAATGATTCCTAACATTATTTTGTTTGCCTACAAAAGTACGTGGAGACCAACAAGAAACAAATCGCGGTCAAAAAGACTCGAGAGGACTCTAAAGTCAAACCGTAGGACTTGGGACTGACTTGAGATTTGTTGGCCTTTGACTTGGACTCGACTCGGGACTTGCCTGTCTTGACTCGTGACTTGACTCGGGACTTGAGGGCAATGAATTGAGACTGACTTGTGACTTGCTAAACAATGACTTTGTCCCACCTCTGCTTTTTACATACATGTATCTTTGGCCTCGGTCACATCTCTAGATCCGCTTTTGCAGACAGAGGGTGGTCCTCTCATTTTCAGACAGCTAATCAGCTCTCAGCCAGAGAGTCAAGTAGCGACTCACAGTGTGCACAAGATAACAAGATTTTCTGATAAGATGAAGACAGTTGTAGTCTAACAAAATGCATTATTTATATATATGTAAAAAAAATAAAAAAACAAAGATACATTCCCCTCTACCAGCTATATATAGATATAGGATATAGGAGCGTTGGTTGGAAAAACACCCTTGCTGCTCTGTCAACCATATATTTGCAACATCACTGCACTCCATACTCATGTCTTTTTCACATATAAATATTTATCCTTTCAGTGCGTAGGTGTCAGTTGTCATTCGTGTTAGTGTGTCGTGGGATTAAATCAGTGGAAAAGGCTGTCAGCATCTCCCCCCGCCTGTATTTGACACTGCTGAGTGGACCAGTTACACGCATACAGACATCTTCTAACTCACATTTCTCTTGTCACTCTGTTTTCCAGCTGGTGCAGAGCAACTTTGTCCTCTTCTGCACGTACGCCGCTGATTTGAAGGATCACTTTCAGAACATTGTGCTGACGATTCTGGTGAGTTGGGATTGCGGCTTGTTGTATATGGTTCATTTGAAGCCAGTTGGGTCAATATCTTGAGTGAAATTACATTTTAAACAACTGTGGTGTTCTATTTAGACTAAACCTAAGCAGAGGGTAGATTCCCACTTTTATCACTATTTTTTCTTTCATAAGTTAGTAGGTAGACCGCTGCAAACCTTTTTTTTTCTTTTTTAAAGTATAATAGAATGTTTTTCAGTTTTTTTTAAAGTAGAATAGAATGGTATAGATAATTTCATTTTATGGGCGACAGTAGCTCAGTTGGTAGAGCATTGGCCTTTGGGCCTGAAAAAAAAATCGAGCAATTCTAAATAACTCTACACTAAAGTAACATAAAATATATAACTCTAGCATAAAAATAATCAGTATAAAAGCTCTATCGTTTGCATAGGAAATAGGTCTAAAATCTCCAACTTTAGCACGATGAAGAAGCAAGACTTAAGTACAAAAACCCCTGTCTTAGTGTTAGTATTAGATAGCAATATGGCCTACGTGCAGAACTGTACAAGGACTCTGATTATTTTGACTATGATGTGACTGTCTCTGAATAGAATGGTATAGATAATTTCATTTTATGGGCGACACAGTTGGTAGAGCATTGGCCTTTGGGCCTGAAGGTTTTGGATTCGAGCTCACCATGGGGACCTACTCCAACTGCTCCCACAAATGCCTTCTGTCCTTGTGTCCTTGAGCAAGACACTTAACCCCACGTTGCCTGAAGCCTCCACTGAAAGACCAAGGCTGTTTCACCACTGACGGCGCAGCCATCTTCCTGTGGACCCACCACCTGCAGAGGATCGGAAAAGGACTGGTGCTATGAGCATTGGGTGTCAGCTCTCATTGCCATCCCCCCGACCCAGAAATTGACTAATAAAGGGGTTGAAAATGACTGAAATTTCCTTTTACAAACAAAACTCAACTACAATACAACAATAACATACCATCCATCCATCCATCCATTTTCTTCCCCTTAATCCATTTCTGGGTCGGGGGGGTGATAGTCAGAGCTGCACCCAAGTCACATAGCACCAGCCCGTCACTGTTCCTCTGCAGGTGGTGAGTCCACAGGAGGACGGCTGCTCTGTCAGTGTGAGCTTGATCTTTCAGCGGGGGCTTCGGGCAAAGTGGGGTTAAGTGTCTTGCCCAAGGACACAACGACAGTAGACATCAGTACGAGCCGGTGGAGAAGGTGTCTGAGCTACTGTCGCCCCTACAATAATGTACCACAGAAGGATAACTCTTCTCACTATAGACAGGAGATTAGCACTTTCAAGTCATTTGTCATTCTAATCTATTGTATATTTAAACAAGTATAAATAATGCCTCCTGTTTGTTAGTTAGAGGTGTATATTAGATTTAAATGATCTACTTACACTTTTGTCTCCAGGTTTCTGCAGTCATCAGCATTCCTCTTTGGCAATGGTTTCTGGAGAGATTTGGGAAGAAGACCGCAGCGTTTTGTGGCATCACTGTAAGTACAGTAGAGATCAGCATAACCTCTTTCTCTTATAAAACATTTGAAAAAAAACGTTTTTTGTGACTTCTTTGGGAAGGTCCTACATAAATAAAGTGGACTTACTGATTGAATTGTAAAATTACTTAGACTTAGGTAGACTTTATTGATTCACAAGGGAAATTACGTTGTCCCAGTAGCTCGCATAGTATTTCACAAAAACAAAAACAAAAAATGGAAGGAGATTGGTTGGAATCATTTTTTAAAAAGGTGATTAAGTTGCTTTAAAGGGGACATAGCATGACAAATTCAATAAAATGTATCTTTTTTGTATTGCCCTAAATCCCAACAGCAGTGTGATTTAGGAATTTACAATTTTGTCAACTCCTCAAGAACGGATTAGAGAATCAAGCTGTTCGAAGACAGGAAATGAAATAATAACAAAAGCATAGGAGCCATAGGAAAGGCACGACACTACGACAGGGGTCCACTCCCAGGGATAGACAGACTATAGATCCAGGACTCAGTCTGTAGGACGGGGACTGAGGCCACGCAGTGCAGGACTTGCTAGGACGCATGCTAGTTCTGACCAAAGCCACAGAGATGATCACGAAAGCTGTCAGGAGCTTGTTGTAACTTTGTATCTTTAACTTCAAAACGATTCCTAATGAATGTGGGTGTTGTGTTTTTGTCGTGTGCAGTGGATCATGCCGTTCACTCTGATGCTCGTCTTCATCCCCAACGTGGTGGTGGCCTACGTGGTGGCCGTGTCGTCTGGACTGAGCGTGGCGGCCTCTCTCCTCCTGCCCTGGTGAGTCACGTGATCAAATGTTCAACTTACACATGTTCGGAATGACCACACTTTCAAAACGAGTATGTTAATAATGCAAAAATATAAACAAGCTGAAAAATGCTCCTTTAAAACGCTGGTGTTTTCATTTTTCTTGGTCCAGATTTTGAATAGCGATATTGACATAAATCAGAATATTGCATGTCCCCATAAAACCTGCTTTGAAATGCTTTTACTGATTGATACCAGTTTCAATGTTTTGTTTTAAACTAAAACATCAGATGTATTGTCCAATGACACAGTTTACGGTTGACTCCATACTCAGACAAACTTGTAGAAGATACAACAGGCACATACCCAGAATATTACTGCATATACTGTATATAATAAGACGGTTAAGTAAGTAAGCCAACATGGATTTGCTGCTGGTGGGTAAAAGTTTGGATAAAACGTCCTTGTTCGGCAGGTTGGGTTCATGTGACATCACAGCATTTTAAAGAGCCGATTGTTTAAAATTGTGGTTGCTGAAAAATCTTTTCTAGTAACTATGGTAAGTGTTAATAACCACACTTTAGTTGTGATTTTGAGATTATTTCTGTGTAATCTCTGTGTTCATTTCTGGACAAATCTAAAAGAAAACCTCACAAAGTTCCTAATCTTTGTTTCAGTAATTATGATTACCTAACTAATTATGTTATCATAATGTTGTCTAGAACTGGTGACAATATAAAAAAAAAAAACATGTTCATGATGTTTACCAGTAAAACAAACTTTTGTTGTGAATCTAATATTGAAGGATGATTTGGGGAAATTATTGGACATTTTCTTTAAAAACATGTATTTCAAAAATGTCGGCTCTGTTGGCTAGCTCTTAATGATAGCTCTCCTTGAACAGGATGTCATTCAAACATCGTTATTTCCTATTGTAATGAATGAGCGGACACAGCTGATATCAAAACAATCTTATTTAGGGTTGAACACAGGATGAAAATACTAAAGGAAAAACCTGGTGAACCTATAAGAAAGCACTGATGAGATGAGAGAAGATTGAGTTTGTTCTTAATAGTAGCTGACCAAGTATAGCAACCATCCCGTTGATGCGGTATATTCCCAGTCAAACAAGACACAAGAATCCCAGACCATAATTGCAGGGCTAATAAAATGACAAGATTAGGTTGAACTGCGGTCACGGGCAGGATAAACAATCGGTCTGTCCAAAATAAACATGCTACCTATTTTGTAATCTGTAATTTGGGTTTGGGGCCTTTCCCAAGGGATGAGCAAAAGTTGGGGGTAACCTTAGAGACACATGCTAAATACAAACACTCTCTTATACTAATATATGTTTAAAAAGACATCAACTGCTTGTAGCCATGCCCAGTCAATGTACGGAAGCACAAGCTGAGCAGAAAATGATCGCAACATATTCATTTTGAACATATGGCTTCTTGAAAAAAAAATTATCAAAGGAAATGTAGAAGTAAAAGCTGGTAAGACACCATATGAGGAAGATGCATTACAAACTTGTATACTGTGAAAGCCGTTTGGATTTCTATGAGACAAAATAATTGTAATCTTATACTAATTTTGGAGTAAACCAATGTGGATGCATCCCAAAACAATCGTACAAAATGCAGTTAAATTCTATTCTAGCAATATCATGTAGTTCTGATTCAGTTCTGGTTTTAATTATGTGTAGGATCGTTAGCACAGCTATGAGACTAAAATATAAAAACCAAAGCTATTGGAAAATGCACAAGATTAAATTGGTATGAACTAGAAAAAGCTACATTTTTCAACATTTGGGTTTCTCATCCAAAACATAATAAATGTTTTAATTTGTTTATTTATTCTAAACATGCATGAGACATACAAACAATTATTCACAGAAAAAAATGGTGATTGGAGTAAACAAGCAGTAGTATTTAGCTCCATCTATGCCACTGTCTGGAACAAATCAGCACAAACACGCCCCCGTCCCATCTGTCCAAATGCCCCTTTTTTTAAACCTGCCGCTCTATGTCAAAGACTTTGACCGTTTTCACCTTAAAAAAAATAAAAGTTATTAGCTTTTGTTTTTTGTCCAGTCACATTACATGCTACACAACTGCGAACCTTAAGTTGCAGCGCGCCATCTTAGATTTTGTGTGTGTAGTCACACAAACATACACAGTACAATGAGATATCAAAAGGTACATAAATAAATAGTACAAAATAGGGATTGATCGATTAACAGTTGATTGATTTTATCCAATAGATTTTGTGGTTTTATTTTTAGTCAATCAACTTGGCACAACTCTCCATTAAAGCAGAAAAGTTTCTTTACGCCTATTTCTTTTTTGTTGTTGATCACATTGTTGAAAAGTGTCCATGATCCATATTGTGACTCAAAAGAGCTTTGTGTGTGTGCGTTTGTGTGTTTGCTGCAGGTCGATGCTCCCAGACGTGGTGGATGACTTCAGACTGGCAAACCCCTTCTCCCGAGGCCATGAAGCCATTTTCTACTCCTTCTACGTGTTTTTCACCAAGTTCGCCTCCAGCATCTCCCTGGGGGTCTCCACGCTCTGTCTGGAGTAAGTGAAAGATGCTTTTTACGTCTTGTGGCACTGGTTTGCGCTTAATGGCATCTCTTTTAAGTATTTCTCATTAGATCTTCCCCTTTCCTTAATGTATAATTCATTAAGTCGAAGGTGTTGACGCGGCTTGTTTGAAGTTGCAGTTGCTGTGTCAGGCTGAACAATCTGGCTTCAAACAAAGCAAATGCTAGAGGAGGATATGCGTGTTATGGTCAGACTGCAAAATGTTTTTGGTTATTTTTGTCATTATTTTTCAGCAGAAATAGATAGAAACAGGGATGGCAAAAAATAATATTCTTTCTACTAATACTTTAATATCATTATTAGTTAGTTATTGTATTTTTTGTAAATGTGCCAGCTCTAGAGCTAGTTTCCCCTTGACCCTAGGCAATGTGTAAATTGCCATATAAGTACGGTTTCAAAAAAAAAATCCATAATCCAGCAAATACTACATATTGTGGCCTATGTCTTGAGATGGTTGCATATTGCCAGAAACAAGGCAATGTACACCTATATGACTTTAAATATTCCAATCTGCTGTTCACAAATTATTATTTTTGCATTGATAAATGTAATTAAAAAAATCAAATAATCAAAAGAAGAAACATTCAAATAGATAAAACCTAACATCATGAAAATATACAAAATAGTGTTTTGGTTGCTATGGTTTTGTCTGTTCAGAAATTATGATTCATGAATATGATACAGTAACAGTCCAGAAATTGTTTTAGCAATTTCTCGCTCTGTGGGTGAATCCAAATAAGCTATGTCCACATGACCCAGTGACCATGGGACAATGACGATGGTGACGGTGACGATGGGACAGAGAGGGAGTGGGCTTCCAGTGCCTACACCAGTGATCTTCAAACTCTTCCCATTCTGAAACCACATGCTCGTTGTGTTTGGTTCACAGGTTCGCTGGTTATGACACCGGTGCGTGTAAGCAGCCCGCCCCTGTGGTCTACACTCTGAAGCTGCTCATCGGCGCCGCCCCGGTGGCTTTCATTGTCACAGGCCTAATGATCCTGCTGCTGTATCCCATCAGTGAAGAGGTGCGGCTGAGGAACAGAGTGTGTCTGGAGGAGCTCCGGTGAGAACTGCTGACCCCACCATCTCTGACATTTCCCTCCTACACTATCACAGGCTTGTTAGAGGAAGGCAGCTGAAGTTCAGGCGTTAGATGCAGAAGATTGTGTTTCTACCCCTTACCATGTCAATCAAAGCACAGCACAACAAAACAAAATATGTACATATATAGGGCTTTACTTCCGAACAAAACATTTTATATAATTACTTACTTGTTCCTCACTCTTTGGTTCTATCACCAGTTTTCATGCATTTACTGATATTTCTGAACAGATTTTAAAAAGAGAACCACCCCAGTGTCAATTAGTGATTCACAGGCATCTTTCTTACAAGTGTGTAAATGTTTTTTTAAGAAAGCACTGTCAGTGATTCACAGATTAATTTTCCACAAATACATTGTAATTGATGTCTGTGTTTGTATGTTCATCAGGAAACAGAGCATCAGCTCCAGAACGATGGAGGACCTGAACCACGTGTGACCAGGCCACATTGAAGCCCACATTCCAATCGCTGGAAGTTGTTGAATAGTGTATATTACACTGGTAACTGGATTTATTGTTTTAATGTAAACATTTTTTCTTATTTTCTCATTGACATGTACTGTACAGTAATCTTGGATATATCTATGAATTTTTAATTTATATAAATGAATGTACTATTTGCTGTGTTCAGCTATATGACACTATTTATTTATGAATGACCATTATAAAGGTTGAGAACAATAAACGCTGTGGAAAATGGTTAAGCATTGTCTGTGTCTTACTTCAAATATCAGTGTTCACATGAAACAAACTCATAGAATCCATTGGTGGCCGTGATCCACCTCTCCAGCTGGGACCAGAGTCGAATCCAAGGGGGATCAGGATTCATCTGTAATCGTTGAGCACCCAAATAGGTTCTTATTTGGATTAAATGTGTATCGTGAATACGCCCCAAGATAAAGTTTTTGAGCAGTACCTTTAACTGCACTTCTAAATCCCTGATCCAGACAAAGATCCGGATCACCTTCAAAAACAATCTTCAGCAACAAAACATAGTACATATAGAATCATACATGAGATGGTCCTTCTTTAGAAAGTTACTTACGGTTGCTTTAGAGATTTCAATTTCACATAATCAAATCCAACAAGTGTTTTCCACTGCTGTTAAGACCTGATAAAGTCATACACCAGAACCTTCACAAAAATACATGCTTTTATTTACATTTACGGTACATGACATTCTGCAGTTTCAGACCACTGCTTCACATCCTTCATTCTGTTGTGCACTGCTCCCTCTAGTGGTCATTGACAGACATCAGCATTAGCCAGTGTTTCTCAATATGACCAGTTTTTCACGTTGCAAACTATTACTGCATCAATAATAACATCTCCATGTCATGACTTCAACCATATAAAAATAAAGCAGCTTGTAAACATTTTGTGTGTAGGCAGGAGATAACTCATATTGTTGTATATTATGTATGAAATCTCTGTTTTACATTTCTGGTATTTGTCTGTTGAATTGAGTTTTTTCTAGCACAAGATGCAGATTATAACTATTATAATGTCTTTTGATAAAACATGGATGAGTATCTTTATTATTTCAGTCAAACTATCACTTCTACATTGCCGAGCGACTAAGACAAGGTATTCTGAAAGACTTTAAAAAGTTACATATTCTAATCACCACCATTCAAACTGCATTTTTGACCCGTGTTGATATGTTCAGGACTATAGGAACTTAATTCAGGTGTGGATATCATACTGTTGAATAAACATCAACATAATCACATAGTAGACATTGTCCACATTAGCGGGCAAGGAAAGTGGATTTCATTTCTTTTCCAACACATTTTTTTTCATGGAGACATCAGTTACTGCTCAAATACACCTTCTCTGTAACATAAGTAAATGGTGGAAAATGAACTGAACTCATTTGCTTGGATCCTGAAGCCTCACAATCTCATAATGTTGGCTCAATCAGACATACTTCTTATGGTGTAGAGTTATGACTAAGGCTGCCTTGTCTACAGAATACTGCTACCATAAGTCAAGACATACATTCACAATTGCGGATCGTGATTTTGGATTTTTGAATACAAGTATGCATTTACCTTAGAGTTGTACAAATCCCTGCTCTTCAGGCTGAGGTAGCCAACTTTCAATCCACATAAAAAATAAAATAACATTCTTGCTATCAAAACAGTATGCCGATCAGCTTTCAACCCTGTGCCTATTTGGGCTCATTCTTACATGTTTGCAAAAGATAACACATTTCCTAATAAGAAGAAGGTCTGAAGTCCGATTTGTTCACAGCATTCTACTTTTCAAGACTCCTTCTGGGACAAACCTCATGGATTATTTCAGAAAAAGTTAGGCACCCCAGCTTTAAATGCAGCGAAGCATCCCTGAGAATGGAGGTCAGAATGGACTGACGTCTAAGTGCAGGTCTCCGTAGTACTGGGACTGGGAGCGGGACTGGGGGGACAGGAGGTCTCTGGTGTCCGCATGGTAGATTTTCGTTTCCCGTTCCTCACCGTGAGTTCATCCTTGGACTTGAACGTCAACGGAACGAAGCCGTCGTGATCTGCCACCAGCACGATCCACAAAGGCCCTGGAAGAAGACACGTTTAGGGCTGCTGCTCGATCTGTGGAAAACTGTTGCACTTTTGACATTTCAGACGAACCTCAGGATGCAAAGATGAGAGAATATCTTTTAAGTGTTTATGTTGTTGTATTTTACAGTTAGGGCTGAATGAAGTTGTATTTGTAATAAGGCTATTACTGCTACATTCACCCACAGTGAAGCGTTCTAACTTTTACTCAAAAAGACAAAATTCTTCTGAAGGATAAACAGCAGTCAAAGCACAATTAACGAGATTGCTGAGGGAAAAATCCTATTTTCATTCCTATACATTATTGGTTGATATCCGTGGTTGATGCATATTGAAAGCCAAAGTACTGCATCCCTAATATTGACATATAAGGTTCATGAAAAAATAAAATATGAAAAATACACTTTGTCAGAGTGATCATGGCACATCTTCGAGCCTTCTCACTGACCAGAACAATCATTTGATTACTGAATTAGATACAATTTTGATTCACTTAGATGTTTTTACATTTTAGAAGTTAAATTCTATGAACTAAATGCACCTTCTGTGATATAAATTGATTAAAAAAATCCCTTCCAACAAGACTTTGATCCATTGCGTGGCCTTTCCATCGCTGACACTCCCAAACAGTGCATTTTGGACCCCCGTGAGCACTGCTGGGGTAGAAACAAAACACGATGCTGACTAAAAGTAGTAAGCAGCTTTTGTCTTAAACCTTGTAATCTCACTAGGCCTTTAATCACTTCTATGAATAGCTCAGGCACGAGCAAAAGAACAATAGTGCTGCAGCTGAACAATACCACAGGCGTCTTAAGTTATTCTAAAGATGGCTCCCTGTGTCACATCTGTATGTACTGTACATATACGTAGACAGTATGTACTATACTGTATATGGAACATCCATAGACTCTATATTTAAATAAACAGTATGTACTGTACATGTCACATCAAAGCCTCATGACGTTAGTTTCTTAGGACTAATGGAGATCCACCGCCAACCGCTTTATGGGGGTTCCTTAAGAGCAGCAGAAAAGATAATGTTTTGATGCAGCAGGCCACAAACGCTCTCAAAAGGAAAGCCTCAACTCTTGCAGATTGTGCAATATTTATGTGTGCCATGACATCATCAAAGTCCTGCATCACTGTTATGTTAAACTTCTTATGTCCATACTGTAATCAGGGACATCACGGTTTTACAAATAAACTATTGATTGATTTGGCATCGTGTGCATCTTACTATTCCTCTAATTAGTAACCTGAATATGATCTTGAGAATATTTACTTGGCATTTGACGTTTTAGAAACATGCATGAGAGCCACACACGCGTATTTGGCGCAACCCTTCATGGGAGTTCATCCACTGCGCAGAACCGGGAGGACCAGACGATGCCCAAATACAGGCGAGTTCCCATGGATCTTTGAGAGTTCCAGGCGAGTTCCGCTAATCTTTCGGCGCCCATGCCGGCACAATGCGCCACTGAGCACAAACCATTCATTTGAATAAGGCGCCATCTTGGATCGCCAGGGCTTGGGCTGGGGATATGTGAAGTGAAGTGGTTGATTTTAGACCTGGAGATTTTTAAGAGGTACATGTATAGTTTTTACTCCCATCTACTGTTGAGATCATATACTGCAGTTTAGGGTAGGAGTGCTTCAAAGGACAATATGCCGTCTTTGATAGTGAAGGCCACCAAGGAAAGAATCCTTTAGTTTGATAAATGACCAGATCTCTCCATACATCTTACTTGACACAGAAGCGCTGAAATATAAACAGTCTGCGCTCTGAAGCCGCTTTCATGCACGTGCACAGAGGGGCTCGGCCACGCTTTGACCAATCAGCGCTGCTGATCAGAGCAGCAGTAGAGCGGGAAGGAAAACAGAGTTTGTAGCAGTAAAGTGTGGATTTAAAGAAAACCGAAGGATTTAAGAAGAAAAAAGGGACACTAAAATCCCCACATTATCCGATCTTTATGAAAGCTGTAGGTTCTCTGTCAGCTGAGGTCGAGAATTTAGTCTGCAGCACCACGAGCGCCCCCTGTGCCCATGGGTGGGACAGCTATAAGCTAGTAACACCCTATCCAGTTATTATAGATCCATGGGACATGGGCATACACAGAGGCAGGACTGCGGCTAAAAGCTCAGATTATTATTAGTGTTAGCTACGGCTCCACGTCCGCATCACCAGGTAAGAAAACAGAACATTCAAACTCACGCTGGTGATAAACGTAATCTGGCGATTGTTTTGTGAGGATTCTGTGTGTTTTGCATATTTGAGGCTTGTCACTGAATAAGTTTAGTTGCGTCGGATCGGGTCAGAACATCCGGAGACCCGTGTTCATATTCTGCCTCGTTCTCATTGTCAGTGTGAAGAAAGTTACGTATTGTTGTGTACAAATTACACAATGTGCCTCCTGTTGTTTTAACTCTTTGCTGTTATGACGCAGGTTTCTAGATTTTTGCACAATTCTTTTTCTAAAAGACTATTATTTGGGTCATTTTTTTACATAACTGCCCTCCTCCATGATCCCTTCTTCAAACTTGTGAAGGCACGGTAGAGGCAACAATATTAGTAGCATCTGTGAAACAAAAACACAATTCTCGCATCCTTTTTGGAGAGTACTCCAGCTCATGCACATATATAGGTCCAATTCTATATATGTGCATGGTGGAGGTAGATATTCCTAATAAAGTCCACTTTATTATTTTTTTAAAATAAACATTTTTTTTTTTCATTCGGAACAACTGTAAAAATTATAGATTATATAATTGTTGTAACATGGTCAAAAGCTCCAAAAAGACTATTTGACCTATTAAAGAAAAACACCCTGAAGTAGTGTAACTGGAGCCTTGTGCAGAGTGGGTGTGTTTGGCCCTCACCATACATCATCTCCACAGCGCTCAGGCTGAACAGCTCCTGCAGCGCGCGCAGACAGAGCTTTCCATCACACAGCAGCACCGGCCTCCGCTCATCAATGAACACGTTTTCAGACAGCTGCTTCTGCAAAAGACAAGGTGAAGCCAAGACTGAAGATGAACCAAAACAGAATGAAAAAACTGGCTATAATATTGAGTAGTGGATCACACACTGTATTTAGGAATACTGTGAAATTAAACATATAAGAACCTTTGTTTTTGATATTATGTGGGCTTTTGTTTAGAACCCCTGTGGCGGAACGAAAGCGAACATCCTTGGCCTTTGTACTCCCTACTCAGCTCCAGTTACCCCCTTATTGTTGAGCGCTGCCCAGGTGAGACAGATGAGGAAGATAGAGACCAGAAAGGCACCTGGACCAGACTACCGTAACGCTAGGCTCCTGTCAGTGGAAACAACTCCTTATCAACGTGGGGAAGGGTTAGGGTTTGCTGGATTTCCACAGACATAATTCTGCTGCTCCAGCCCCAGTGAACATCTAACATTTAGAGCTACGTATATTGTGTGGTCTCACTACTGTTCTGTATGCATCCACTGTGGGACTAACATAGGTTCTCTTATCTCATTATAAGTCATGCCACAAACTATATCGATTCAAGATATGCATTTTTCTGTCTGTCCTTGTGCCTCTTTAGATCTATTTGCTGTTGAATTTTTGTTCCAATAATTTTGCCACAACACCTGATATGATGTTTTCAGCGATGCAAGATACTGTTTGCAGGTTGTTTATTTATGAACAATTCAAGAGTTTGCTGAGATAATTTGGTAGAAAGCCTGTGAGCTAAAAATGTTGGTCTGAGGTCCTTTAAAGATTCTTTATAATGCATTTTATAACTGAACTGCTCACAATTGAGATTCCCACTTCAGTAAAAAACATTATGAGTCCTCTGTACAAAATGCCAGGCGTGTAAAAAGGTAGATTGAAGTTAGTCACTAAAAATATCTGTATGGAATGTGTCAATAACAATGTATTTTATAAAACAACCCCACCACATAGCTGATTATCCTTAGATGGGATATGAACAGTTAACCTTTCAGAGTAAATGCTATACAAATTTTCTCTAAATTGAAAATCTCATTGTGTGGCAATGGGTAACAACAGGGTCAAATTGGATGGTGTTCATATCAGATAACTACTCTCTTAATCTGATATAATCTGATTCATTCCACTCAGGCATCTGGATTTAAGCACCTGAACAGAAGTGCTGATACCAGATAGCATCAGCTTTATCTTATTCTAGATAGGAGAATGACTGTAAATTAGCTAATTCAATTTAATGCAAATTCAGAGTGACTTTCAAAAGGACTAAAGTCTTAGTTTATGTACACAATTCTAACATACAATGATAAGACCTATTTGTGTTTTATCATAAACTTATAGTTTATAAATACCAGAAACTCTTAAGCACCAGAAGTCATAGGAAAAAGTAATTACAGGATATTACGAAGTCCTTAAAGTTGTGTGCACAGGATATTATCTTGTGTGTGGAGAGACCTGTGGCTTTCTTGAGAATCTCTCTGCTGGTGATATAGTGCTGGCAGATATGGGATGGTAATATGGTATGGTGAGATCGAAGCTTGTTTTTATATCTAATTTTAGCAATGTGAGGTAAAATAGCTCATGTTAAGATCCATGTTGTATGTGAAATTGGGTGCATTTACTCAAAGCAAATGACAACATACGTGTACATGTCAGAGCAAAGACATGACTGCATGAAGTAGTGGATGTTGAACGTGACAAACGTGCCATGTGTGATTTTAAAACAATGAATTGCGTAAAACTGTGCCAAAAATATATAATACTGGTATATAATCCGGTACACGTTACTCTTTTTCATAGAAAAAAATAAATCCAAAAGTGCGTGTTCAATAATATCATTTTAGGGGTATGTAAATTTCTCCTGTGTGAGATTAATAAAGTACATCTTATCTTCTATAAAAATATATATAATTTTTTAAAACATTTTGTATTATCCATTACACACAATATAATTGATATCAATCATTCTTTATGTTTTGGTAACTGGAAACTGATTGTATTGTGTAAGCGGTTATCCTACGGTTACCTGGCACGTCACGTTGACATAGGAAGGCTCTGTATAGTGTGGATAGACACTTTGAGCTTTCTTCCCGTTTTGCGTGAAGTCCCTCATATCCGCCATACACTGCTGCACATCTGAGAAGCGCGAGAAAAGCCTCTCCATGTTGTGCACCAGCTGCTCCAGGGCGCGCTCTCTTTGGATGGCCTTCCTGTCCCCCAGAGGCAGACCTGGATCGGCGTGGAGTTTATCCGATGGCTCTAGTCGCGGCGAACTGGCCCGGCTCGAGTCCCTGCTCGCCTGGCCAGCTACGGCCAGGCTGTTTAGTCGGCTCACTTGCTCCATGTCGTAATTTTCCAACGTGATGGACGAAGAACTGGACTGCGTTTTGTCGGACACGCGGTCGGAGAAATCCACGGAGCTGGTGATGGGGCTCGCCTCGCGACTTCGCACTTCTTCGATGAGCCGTCTTCTGTTGGCAGGTGAGCGGACCACCCCGCCTCCTGGTAACACCAAGTCCTTAATCCCCACCGGTCGCTCCCTGTCCTCTTTAGAGATGTGTTCTGAGTGTCTCCTAATCCCTGGTCCCATACTTGGACTAGGATTGCCCATGGGTGGGGGGTTAGTAGGAATTTCCCCTTCGTTTAACAGCTCCTTAGCTAAAAGACGCAACATGTATTTGTCTGTGTTTGAAGCAGGCAGGAAGGCCGGGTCGTTGGACTTCTGCCTACCAATCATGAGAAGAAGCATTTTGTCACTAAGAAAGCAAACGCCTTTTGGCCTGTCGTTTGCCTGTAGCGAGATCTGCTGTATGTTGGGCATAGCAGAAGGTGTGATGCAATACACAAGAACCATGTTAGAGGTGTTGGAAGCCACAGCTACCGTCGAGCAGCGGGGGTCAAACGCTATAATATCAGGGACTAAAATTCCAGGGATACTAACTTTTCGTGTTGTGGTGACCTTACGCTCGTACGTTACGAGAATAAGATGGGAGGAGTCCTGGCCTGAGCCTGTGAGAGTATCTCTACGACGGAGGTGAAGGAGTATACTGGGTTCGGAGCGCCTATGCCGGGCCAAAAGATGAGTGAGATCCAGAGGTCCGGCAGTGGGGAGGTACGAGCGCTCAGAGAAGGATCTCCTCCTGTCTAACACGCTGTCCTCCTCAGAGATCTCCTGGCTCTGAATAGACTCTCCTTCGTTTGGCAAATCAAATGACATCCCAGCGTTTAGGCCGCAAATTTTATCCAGAGGGAGCTCTGTGGCGACAGTAACTTGCGCTTCTCCCGTGGATTCAATGGCGCAGACATAACCACCAACATCAAATATAGGGCAAAAGGAGCACGCAACAATGCTTTTCTGAACATCATTCCAAATGTACGAATGCAGAGCGCTGCCTATAGCCACGACAAGACGAGTCCCATCTTTAGTCCAGCAAGCACAATGTATAAGACCGCTGCCTTTGATGTCTGCTTTGATTCTCCGGTTGTCCACCCGAACCGAAAACAGGACTGAAGTGTCTTTCTTGGTCAGTACAGCTAACACATCCAGTTTAGGATGCCACACGCAGCCCTGGGACAACAATGGGAAAGGTTCGCTCATCTCGCAGGTTTGGGTACACAAGAGTTTGTTCTGCTCCAAAGTGCTGAGCTGTAGTTGCCACACAGTAATATGCTTCTTATGCTGAACAGCCAACAGCGCCGGTGAATCCAAGCAGCAGGTTGGGCCCCAAAAGAGCCCAAGGACATGCTCAAATTGTCCAATAACATTTGTGTCCCCAAATTTGACTTCTCCATTGATGAAATACAAGGCTGTCAAGCAGACCTGTTTGCCATCTGTCCAGGCTATCCCATGCACGGGATGAATAGCTTGATGTAGTGTGTTGATGCCGGTCCTAAGGAGCTTTACCTTTCCCAGATCCATCCTGTCAGCAGTGGCAAAAGAGAAAATTACTCACAAAGTAATCATGCCATTGTTTGTTCAATAAAACGACACAGGAATGACTAAAGGTGTGTATAAAGATTAGGAATAGGAATAGCCGTTCGTGTCTCCTCTCAAGTACATACCTTAATCTCCCGGCCTGAGCTGGGGCAGTAGTGACGAGCACTAATAGCTGCTTACGTTTCCATGACCTTAACAACACACGGGTCCAGTGCTGAGCTGTGAGAATTATCATTACAATACGAGAGTGTGAGAGTGGGTGGGTCTTACTTACATACTGTCAGATTACATTAGGAAAATTAGCATTCAATAACTCTGCAGTAAGTCAATTATGATAATAATGTACCCGACCTTTACCCCCATAAAATACTTTAATAAACCAGGCTGAGCAGGATTGAAAAGTACAACAAATTAAACCGCATCATGATGTCTTTATCTTATTGGAAAGCATTTTATCTTTTGCATACTACAAGTAAGATCCGTGGGCGTCACTAATTGATGCTTTTGGCTGAGAGCTGATTGGCTGAGCAGAGGTTATCCCGTTTTTTAGCCAAGCTGATCTGAAGATGTGCAGAGCCAAAAGATGCATGCATGTGAAAATTAGGTACAGATGAACTGATTATGGATTTTATCTTCATAATTTGGTTTGATTGCTGGGGAACCCACAGACAATACTTTTTCCTGTCAGGTTGATTTTTTTGGCAGGTTGACATTAATTGTTATGTTACACTCCTAAACATAAACAGACTAAAACACGTAGCGAAAAGGTTTTATGATTAAACCTGATAAAATATAGTTGATGTATGTAAAAATATAATTCTGATCGAACAAATAATATTGCTACAACTCAACATAATGTTCTACAGTGCATTTGACCAAGCAGTGGGTGGAGGGCCTGCTGACAATCATGTATGGTTTATGTATGAAAAACGTTAGATACTCCAGATTTCAAGTCCTAAAGACTAGCCATAAACGACAAATCAAAAACGTAGTGCATTTAAACATTATAAAGTTGGTTACTACAAGTATACTTTTCTGGCTGATGTGATCAACCAGAAACCAGAAAACGGAAGGTCCTTCAATACTATACACACAATTAATTCAGCGTTAATTTGTCTAAATGTATATGAAGGAAAGCACAAAACAAATATGTAATCTGGAGTGGCATGCGGATGTTAAGGAACACGAACTAGTCGTAAATATGATAGTCCATATGCATTCATATCTGCGTGCGCGAACAATATTTATTTTTAAAGAAATACACCTGAATATTACCAATAGTTATGAATTGCTGCTCCCACGGTGTGTTGCTATGGTTGCTAATGTAGAAGATCCGGAAGCACAACGACACACGTGTTTGGTGGTGCATTCAGGGACTTTAAAATGCTCGTATGTCGTCCCGCTGCAAGCTAGCCAACCGCAACTCTAACCATAGTCCCACCTAGCCAAAAATCTGTTCCTAATCTAAACAGCATTTTGGTTCTTAATCACATTTAGAGATAAAAATAGCAAGAACATTTGAGCATGTTATTCGACCTGGGATTTTAGTAGTGAGCCCGCTATGGCCCCGATGCGTTCAAAGGTTCTATTGCCTGCGCCACTGTCTGCATGGGAGATGTAGTAAATTGCAATGAAACTAAATGACCACTTGATGGCGCTCCGTAAATGTTTCTACTTTTACTCCAAACCGTTAATAGTATAGATCCATGCTTAAAACGCACACACATCAAATATGTGTTCTAATATTCATAAAATACAGGCTCTGAATATCATATACATATTGATTTTGCGGGAATTGAGCTGATAACGTAGCTCTCTAGTGTATGGCTAGGTACAGTGAGCATAGCCTGACGTATCCTCAGTGTGGAACTATCTCGTCTGCTGGATTTGTGCGCCCCCTTGGATCCTGACTGCTTGTTGCTGAATGCATGCTATCCTCCTTTACGGGCAGGTCTGTAGCAGCTAAAGGGGTAATATTAGCTCTCTGGGAGTCTTGTTAGCTTGTATGGTTCGGTGCTAATAGCAGTAGCTGCACAAGAATGGGTGTGGAAGTCGAAACTATAGCTCCGGGTGATGGTAAGTTGATTTATTCGCTTGTGTGTGTAGTGATGTCGGGTACTGTTGCTAACATCGAGGCTCCCTATCTTGCAAATAACAAAAAGTGGTTTCTATACCTTGAATTGGTAAATTATTGTTACGGAATACACGCGATTCATTCTGTAGATACCATTGGCGCATATTAAAACTGCGTTATGGCAATGTTTTATGATCGGTCATTATCACCACAAATCGCACCATGTTTGCGTATATATCTGCTTACTTTATATGTCTAGACATCTTATAAGCCTGGGATCAAATCTAAAAATAAGCATATAGTAGCGGTAAACATGCTGCTTTTTGTCAATTGCTTTCAGATGCATGCACTGGATGCTGGCATGAAATAAGGCGTTTTCTGGACATTGGCGTTTACAGTGTAATTGGGGACATTTGATACCCTTTTAGCTTGTAAAAATAAGCTGCAGGCTAAAGTTTCAATATGCAAGAGGGACCCCAGAGTGGACCTCAAGCTAGCTGCTTATAGTCTGCATGTGCTATAGGCCAAAGGAACTCAGCCAGGAACAGCACCAGTTATGAACCCAGCTATTGTTAATATGGAGGATTAGTACAAGCATTTACTGCACAGGGCTGGGCATAAAGGCATTTGGAATCACTCATGCCATGTTGGGACTCTGTGCAATGTTTGGACACATTATCATAAACAAAATGAGCTGTATGCATTTAGCTATTCTTACTTTATTCTAAGTGAAGTGTTTCCAAGAGTGGTTTTGTCTTGGTTGTTATGGTTTGTGACTGGGTTATCCCTGTTTTAGTGAGGTTTAATCTGTGGGCTGTTCTCAAAACGACAGACTGCTATGGCCCAGAGATCAGCTGACCATAATGTATGAAGTCAGCCTTGTCTCCTTGTCCAATATGGTGTACCTCATTTATTTCATATTCTTGCTTAAACTAATACGTTTTTTTTGTTCCTGCAGGAAGAACATTTCCAAAGAAGGGCCAGACATGTGTGGTACATTACATAGGTGAATCCCTTTTCTACTACTACTACAGCCATTAATACTATTCAGAGCAGTGGTATGGTCTAAAACACGATACAAAGCACTTCAGTTGATCCTATAACTAAAGTATGCTTTCAAATTAGACATTTTCTTTTCATTGTTGCTGTGTTGTTGTCAAGATAAATTGATTTCTAATGACTCCATTGTTTCAAATACAAAAAGCTAGAACTCTTTACTGTAGAACCACAGCCTAATGCATAAGCAATTGTAATTTATTTCAATATGTAGTGCGTATGTGTATAGTATGTGTAGCCATAGTTATAAACTTTACATTTAACTGGATCAATGTTGGTGCTGCTGTTATTGCTGTTACAACGCCTCCTCTCTGGGATTTACCTGTTTGCATGTTTGCACCTGTGTCTAGCCGTGGCGTCATAGCGACACCACACCCAAACAGCAGTCACACATGGAGTAGCACAAAAGGCCTGCTGTCATCTCCCATTGAGATTGCAGACTACACAGACTTCCCCTTTTTCCTGTATTTGTTGCCGTGTCCAATTTCGAGACATTTTGGTAAATACATTTGGGTTGTTCTTGCCTCAGGCTTGGGCGTGCAGACAACTAGGTCAGACAGTAAGTAAACAAAGGCCAGCTCGTGTATCATGGCGCTGTGGAATGATTGGTTTATTACAAGGCTATAAAAAAGTGTTGTGTCACCACGATGGGATGTTGAGTGTATTCATTGTGCTTGGTTATTGTGTTGCAGCTGCAGGCAGGTGTAGAGCTCCAGCCAAGTCTAATTATTTTTGTGCAGCTAATTCCCACAATTCAACATGTCTGCTGTGTTTTTAAGCCCTGTCTCAATGTGAATTAAGAATTTTGTTGACATTTAAATTAGGGATGTACAATATCTTGAATATTATCTCTATTATGGCAAGTGCAATATTGATCTCGCCACAATTTGCAATATTGTATGTACAAATTAGGTGCTGTTATTAGGTGTAAACATTTTCCATTAGCTTATAAAGCAACAAATAAGAATCGTTGGAAAGAAGAGATTAGGGAATAGGAGATCAGCAACAACTTAAAAGCTCTGCACTGACAACATGCTCTGGATTTCTATGGGAAGGAAAATAATGTTGTTATGGTCCTTGATATCACAGAACTTATTTCCAATGACATGCAGCCCCTTTTTCAAGCATTAGCTGACTGTTTTCATTAAATGTTTCAACAAAACATGATACAATAGTGCTGATTAGACATTTAGTGATTTTGATCATGCATATTAGTAAATTATGTCAATCTTTTAATAATCTAAACTGTACCAGCATTGATGTTGATTATCAAGGAAAGATTTATAATGGTTATAGGATTGCCTGCTTTGACTCCCACAACAAAATTACACTTGAGAAGTGATGAGACCGTAATAGGCTCACTCCACGCTAAACTGTACAATGTGTCAAATTTAACTTCAAGCTTCAATAAAATAAATGTATTAACTGATAATGTTGTACCTCATAATTCTCTAATACTATTTAGTTTATAAATATACATAGGATAATCTCAGATGGGCAGCTCCAAACCATTTCAAGAAAAATGGATGCCTTTCAATTTTTATTTATTGAACTTTGGGCAGCAGAATCATTGGACAGCAGCAAGACTTACTCACAGCCATTTATAATAACACCAATTTTGAGGAAAGGCTCCCAGATCTCCACAAACAGCTGACATACTCTGCACTCACACTACAGTCTGCTCCCATCAGGGCGTAGGTTCAGGTCCCTCCATTCAAAACAAAAAGGGCCACCACCAGCTTCCGCCAACCTTAATTCGTCTTTTAAACAGCAGATTTGGAGATCTGTTTTATCTATTTTATATTGCATATTCATATCTTGTGTTTCTGTATTTTATGTACCCCCACTGGTGCTCCGTCTGTAAATGAAGTTCCTCACGGATTAATAAAGTTATTTGAATTGAAGAGAATTGAATTTGGGACACAATTGTTACATGCATAGGTTTTCCCCATTCTCTCTCTACCATCCTCATATTTACAAAAACAAGTGAAAATTGAAAATGACCTCTCGTGCCTGGAAAGTCACATTATTACATTAGCTCGCCTAATTCCATTCAGTCAAATGCAAGATGGGTTTGCTATCTTGCAACTTGCAAGTCAGATCCGTGAAAAAGCTGGCCCGCTCAGCAGCAAAGTCATTTTATCAAACGATTCAGGAAAAACCATAATGTCTTCATGGAGAACAGATTCCCAGTACCAAATAGTACACCATTAATGTAGCTTACTTGGAAAATGTACTTCTCTACGTTCAAAGGAACTTTCACTTGGATTGTTGCAAGATTACAGTAATCACATTTTCCGATCCAAGACTCTTTGTTTTATTGTGTCACTTAGGATTAGAAAATGCAGGACCTCTAAGTAGTCATGTGACCACATCCCTGAATTATTTTACAGTACATACTCGTGGCATACAGTAAACTTTCCACTCTATTCCCCTCTTCTGTGCAGTGATAAGAAAGCTGTGATAGTGTCATGATGTCAGCATCATGACACTATCACAGTGTCTCAAAGTTTTTAAAAAGATGTTGACGCCTTTGAAAACCTAATTTTTCCCAAACATTGTGTCACCACCACTTTCACCTACCACCCACAAATCCATGCTGCTGGGCGTTTTCATATTAGTCAAAAAGCACTTTGGCAGACATCAGATTTTGAGCTTCATTCATGGTAATTGTTTAGATGGATAGCAACAGGATTATACTGTGTATCTTAAGCTAATGGTGGATCAGGCATCAGGGTCAAAAGTCCACTGGTCGCACATTCTATTTTGGTGTCACTTTTAGAATGAGACTGCACTACAGACTATACAGGACAATTAGTCATCCTAATTATAATAGTGTAAATCATCATCTGAAAGAGATTAGAGCAAACACAACATTGTCAATCTATAATATATATATATATATATTTTTTTTATTCTATTGGAACTGAATGTAATATTTTCAGTTAAAATGACAACTACTGTACATATTTTATATGTTCCAGATAGCAGGTCAACATGTATAAGACATATTAGTATTAGAAATATAATGAACATGATGTCCATAATTCTTTTATGGTTTTAAGGCAGAAACAATGTGAGAGCAGAATGAGGATTCCCAATTTTTTGGGGTGAAATTGATCTGGGTTGGCTTTTTTTTTGTATAACAAACAAACACACAAGAAAAATAATGTATCATTTGTATCATTTATATTGAAACCCCAGCAGTTGGATTGCTCATAAATTGAGCGACCTTTTTAACATAAATTACATTGTACTCTTTATTCTCTATATATTACCACAAAGGATTGACATTCTACTAGTTTAGGTAAAATATATTCAAAACTGCTCATAGGATCTCCCATGTTGTCATGTTTGTGATTCTTTTTTTATTGACGTCAAGGTACTGTCCTTTTGAAAAAATCAAAATAAGATAATTGCTGTTGCAATCAGAATATTGCATGGATCATGTTACTTATTTACACTCGTAAATATAATGTCCGCTTTTAATTTCCTTTCCATCCAATTTTCTAGTCTGCTTGAAAACCCTGCATTTCAGTTCAGGGATTAGTCTGAGCTCAGACTTCTAAAGGTTTGAATGAAAAAGCCCCTCGACAGTTCTGAAATGTTAAAAAATGTGAACTTTGTAGAACATAATCAGTAATAAGTGTCAACTACTCTGCTTGGATTCCAACCCAATTCATAATCTTTTCTGTTTTACACTGAATTAATAGACTTTGTACTTTGTACTAGGCTTATCATGACATTCATTTCAGTGTTGATAGAAAAATTAATCTCTTTGTGCTATTTATGATAGAATTTTAATTCCTTGTTAAACTGCTCCAGAATAGTTCAATATGGTCATTTATGTGCATATGTAGTATCAATTCTTTCTTTTTTTTGAAGAGACTAGTAAAATCATATATTTAAAATCAAATTCCAATTGCTGATAAGGCTTATAAAAAATTGTCATTTTTTGCTTACTTCCTCCTTCCAAAATGTGTAGTTCAGGATGTCAGAATATCTAAATGTCACAATTTAGAATTACATTTTTTAACTAGATTAGCTGCACAATGTTTATGCATGATTATTCCAAGTTGGGTAACCTAACTTTCTTGTTTTATATATAACACATGTTGTTTAGAATAAATATTGTGTCTGCTGTGTCTAATCGGACTACTTTATTGTATAGAAAACGCTTGTAAGATCACAATATTCACAATATTACTTTGTTGATTGACACAAAAGCAAACAAACTAACTTACTAGAATCTCTCGTCTTGACAGAACGTCTGCTTTGATTTCACATTAACTTAAAGATGGATTTTCTGACTCTGGCCGTGAAAAAGGGAGTAGATCTTGACACACCATGCACATCCCTCTGCCTCAAGGCTCCAGTGTGCGTTCAGATTGGATTGCATTGTGGTCAGTGATAACATCAGCTGTGAAGTGCCCAGGCGAACCACGGCTGACGTCACCGCTAAATGTAGAGGCGTCTTTCCCCTCACCATGTTTGTGATCCGCACTCATCCTGAATCCTGAGAACCAGCACTGGGCCGATTGGACTGCATGCGTCATATCGAAATAGATAGGGCTGTAAGTCAGGAGAGGCCGAGTGTGGGCTTACATAGGGGAACGATGAGATTGAAAAATATACTTCATTAATTGATTGTATTAGGATTGTATTTGGACTTTGGTTTTTATAGATGAATTATGCCCAAAAGTTTATATGGAGAAAAGTTTTAAACCTACTGTACATCAATTTACACCCACTAATACAATAACTGATCCAGACATCATAGGGTTGTCCCAAAACTGTATTTTTTTGTTTGTGTAAGACTGATTTATTTTGGAAGTAACTAATTACAAACGTTTCTAGTTGCTGCTACATATTCCTTGTTGAAATAACTATCATAAAAATGTATCTTATTGTAACTCAAGCTATTGTACATGCAGATTTATAGATTTGTTT